GGGTCTCTCTCTGAACCCCCTCCCCAATCTCTGAAGCCCCCTCCCCAATTGGGGGGTCCCTCCTTGAACCCCCTCCCCAATTGGGGGGTCCCTCCTTGAACCCCCTCCCCAATTGGGGGGTCCCTCCTGAACCCCCTCCCCAATTGGAGGGTCTCTGAGCCCCCTCCCCAATTCCCAAGGTCCGTGAGCCCCCTCCCCAATTGGGGGGTCCATTCCTGAACCCCCTCCCCAATTGGGGCTCTCTGAGACCCCTCCCCAATTGAGGGTCCCTCTCTGAGCCCCCTCCCCAATTGGGGGTTTCTCTCTGAGCCCCCTCCCCAATTGAGGGTCCCTCCTGAAGCCCCCTCCCCAATTTGGGGCTCTCTGAGCCCCCTCCCCAATCTCTGAAGCCCCCTCCTCAATTGGGGGTCTCTGAGCCCCCTCCCCAATTGGGGGGTCTCTCTCTGAGCCCCCTCCCCAATCTCTGAACCCCCTCCCCAATTGGGGGTCCCTCCTGAACCCCCTCCCCAATAGGGGGTCATTGAGCCCCCTCCCCAGTCGGGGGTCCCTCCCTGAAGCCCCCTCCCCAATTGGGGGTCCCTTCCTGAGCCCCCTCCCCAATCTCTGAAGCCCCCTCCCCAATCGGGGGGGTCCATTACTGAACCCCCTCCCCAATTGGGGGTCTCTGAACCCCCTCCCCATTTGGGGGTCCCCCCTGAAGCCCCCTCCCCATTTCAGGGCTGCTGCTGGCCGTGCCCCCCCAGACCCCGCTGGACCCCCGGTTCCAGAGGGACCCCCACGTCCCCAACGTCTTCCACGCCCGCGGATTTGGGTCTGGGGGCTTCCAGCCTGGGGAGGGGGCTCAGGGCCAGGGGGAGCTCGGAGTTTTGGGGTTCTTATTTGAGGAGGGGGCTCCGTTTGGGGAGGGGGCTCAGTGCCAGGAGGGGCTGCGGGATTTGGGGTCTGGGGGTTCCCAAATTGGGTCTGGGGGCTCCCAAATTGGGTCTGGGGGCTCCCAAATTGGGTCTGGGGGTTCCCAAATTGAGTCTGGGGGTTCCCAAATTGGGTCTGGGGGTTCCCAAATTGGGTCTGGGGGCTCCCAAATTGAGTCTGGGGACTCCCAAATTGGGTCTGGGGGTTCTCAAATTGGGTCTGGGGACTCCCAAATTGGGTCTGGGGACTCCCAAATTGGGTCTGGGGGCTCCCAATTTGGGTCTGGGGACTCCCAAATTGGGTCTGGGGACTCCCAAATTGGGTCTGGGGGTTCCCAATTTGAGTCTGGGGACTCCCAAATTGCGTCTGGGGGTTCCCAATTTGAGTCTGGGGGTTCCCAAATTGAGTCTGGGGGTTCCCAAATTGGGTCTGGGGGTTCCCAAATTGGGTCTGGGGGCTCCCAAATTGGGTCTGGGGGTTCTCAAATTGGGTCTGGGGATTCCCAAATTGGGTCTGGGGACTCCCAAATTGAGTCTGGGGGTTCCCAAATTGGGTCTGGGGGTTTCCAAATTGGGTCTGGGGGTTCCCAAATTGAGTTTGGGGGTTCCCAATTTGGGTCTGGGGGTTCCCAAATTGGGTCTGGGGGTTCCCAAATTGGGTCTGGGGGCTCCCAAATTGAGTCTGGGGGTTCCCAAATTGGGTCTGGGGTCTCGAACGGGCTCAGTGATCCCAAATTGGGTCTGGGGTCACAATTTGAGTCTGGGGGCTCCCATTTTGAGTCTGGGGGTTCCCAATTTGGGGAGGGGTCTCAGACCAAGGTGGGCTCCCAATTTGAGTCTGGGGTCCTGGAGGAAAAATTTGGTCTGGGGACCCAAAGTGAGTCAGGGGTCCCGGATCAGGAATTGGGTCTGGGGTCCCGAATTGAGTTGAGGGTCTCAGAGGCGGAATTGGGTCTGGGGTCCCGAATTGAGTCGGGGGTTTCAGATCCGGAATTGGGTCTGGGGTCCCCCCGGGACCGGGAATTGGGTCTGGGGTCCCCCCGGAGCCGGGAATTGGGTCTGGGGTCCCGAATTGAGTCGGGGGTCTCAGAGCCGGAATTGGGTCTGGGGTCGGAGGTCCCGGATCAGAAATTGGGTCTGGGGTCTCCCTCGCGCCCGGAATTGGGTCTGGGGTCTCCCTCAGACCCAGAATTGGGTCTGGGGTCCCCGGAATTGGGTCTGGGGTCTGGGGTTTCAGATCCGGAATTGGGTCTGGGGTCTCCGGAATTGGGTCTGGGGTGCCCTGAATTGGGTCTGGGGTCCCGGGAATTGGGTCTGGGGTCCCGTTGTTGCCCGGAATTGGGTCTGGGGTCCCCGGAATTGGGTCTGGGGTCGGCGGAATTTGGTCTGGGGTCCCCGGAATTGGGTCTGGGGTCGGCGGAATTGGGTCTGGGGTGCCCGGAATTGGGTCTGGGGTCCCCCTCAGATCCGGAATTGGGTCTGGGGTCCCGGGAATTGGGTCTGGGGTCCCGTTGTTGCCCGGAATTGGGTCTGGGGTCCCCGGAATTGGGTCTGGGGTCCCGGGAATTGGGTCTGGGGTCCCCGGAATTGGGTCTGGGGTCCCCGGAATTGGGTCTGGGGTCGGCGGAATTGGGTCTGGGGTACCCGGAATTGGGTCTGGGGTCCCGGGAATTGGGTCTGGGGTCCCCGCGGGTCGTGGCTCTGCAGGGCCGCAGCCCCCGGCCGCAGCTGTGGCCGCTGCGCGCGCTCGCGGTCAGCAACGCGCAGCTGCGGGAGCTGAGCCCGCGCCGCTGCCCCGCCCACTTCCTGCTGCCCCCTGGCGGCCTCAGCGCGGGACTGCGCGGCCGCGCCGTGCTCCTGCACCCCCTCAGCAAATAAACGGCCTTTCTGAGGGGATTTTGTGGGTTTTTGTGGGTTTTGAGGATTTTTTTGTGGGATTTTGGGGTTTTTTTTGTGGGATTTTTGGGTATTTTGGGAGGATTTTTGGGGTTTTTTGGGGAGATTTTGGGGAGGTCTTGCAGTGTTTAGCGGAGGATTTGGGGCAGTTTCACGGAGGATTTTGGGGGGATTTTTGGGAGGTTTTTGGGGGGATTTTTGGGGTTTTCAAGAGGAATTTGAGGAGATTTGAGGGGGTTTTGGGAGATTTGAGGGGGTTTTGGGAGAATTTGGCACTTTTGAGGGGCTCTTGGAGAGGAGTTTTGCAGAGGTTTCAGAGGGATTTGGGGAGGTTCTGAGGGAACTTTGGGGTGATCTTGGGGGGGTTTTGTGGAGGTCTTGAGGCTATTTTGAGGAGGTTATGGTGGGATTTTGGGAAATTTTTGTGGGATTTGGGTGTGTTTCGGAGGATTTGGGGGATTTGGGTGGGTCTCGGAGGATTTGGGGGAACTTTTGAGGATTTTGGGGCGCTCGCGGTCAGCAACGCGCAGCTGCGGGAGCTGAGCCCGCGCCGCTGCCCCGCCCACTTCCTGCTGCCCCCTGGCGGCCTCAGCGCGGGACTGCGCGGCCGCGCCGTGCTCCTGCACCCCCTCAGCAAATAAACGGCCTTTCTGAGGTGATTTTGTGGCTTTTTGGGGGTTTTTTGGGTTTTTTTGGGTTTTTGTGGGTTTTTTGGGTTTTTTTGTGGTTTTTTGGGGTTTTTGGGGGTTTTTGGGGGGATTTTGGAGAGGTCTTGCAGTGTTCAGTGGAGGATTTGGGGCGGTTTCACGGAGGATTTGAGGGGATTTTGAGGGTCTTTGGGTGATTTTGGGAAGTTTTTGTGAGGTTTTGGGGGGATTTTGAGGGGGTTTTGGGAGAATTTGGCACTTTTGGGGGGCTCTTGGGGGAGTTTTGCAGAGGTTTTAGGGGGATTTGGGGAGGTTCTGAGGGAACTTTGGGGTGGTCTTGGGGGGGTTTTGTGGAGGTTTTGGTGGGGTTTTGAGGAGGTTATGGCGGGCTTTGTGTGGGTTTTGGGAGATTTGGGTGGGTTTCGGAGGATTTGGGGTATTTGTGTGGGTTTCGGAGGATTTGGGGGAACTTTAGAGGATTTTGGGGCGCTCGCGGTCAGCAACGCGCAGCTGCGGGAGCTGAGCCCGCGCCGCTGCCCCGCCCACTTCCTGCTGCCCCCTGGCGGCCTCAGCGCGGGACTGCGCGGCCGCGCCGTGCTCCTGCACCCCCTCAGCAAATAAACGGCCTTTCTGAGGGGATTTTGTGGGTTTTTTTGGTTTTTTTGGTTTTTTTGGGGTTTTTTGAGGGATTTTTGGGGGTTTTTTGTGGGATTTTTGGGGTTTTTAGGCGGAATTTTTGGGAGGCCTTGGAGTGTTTAGCGGAGGAGTTACGGCGGTTTCGGGGAGGATCTGGGGTGATTTTCGGGGTCTTGGGGGGATTTTTGGGAGGTTTTTGTGAGGTTTTGGGGAAATTTTTGAGGTTTGGGGGAGGATTCTGAGGAGATTTGAGGGGATTTTGGGAGAATTTGGCACTTTTGGGGGGCTCTTGGAGAGGAGTTTTGCAGAGGTTTTAGGAGGATTTGGGGAGGTTCTGCGGGAACTTTGAGGTGGTCTTGGCGTGGTTTTGAGGAGGTCTTGGCGGTATTTTGAGGAGGTTATGGGGGGCTTTGTGTGGGTTTTGGTGGATTTGTGTGGGTTTCGGAGGATTTGGGGGAACTTTTGAGGATTTTGGGGCGCTCGCGGTCAGCAACGCGCAGCTGCGGGAGCTGAGCCCGCGCCGCTGCCCCGCCCACTTCCTGCTGCCCCCTGGCGGCCTCAGCGCGGGACTGCGCGGCCGCGCCGTGCTCCTGCACCCCCTCAGCAAATAAACGGCCTTTCTGAGGGGATTTTGTTGGTTTTTGTGGGTTTTGAGGATTTTTTTGTGGGATTTTGGGGTTTTTTTGTGGGATTTTTGGGTATTTTGGGGGGATTTTTGGGGTTTTTACGGGGATTTAGGGAGGTCTTGGAGGGTTTAGGGATAGATCTGAGGCGGTTTCAGCGAGGATTTAGGGGGATTTTGGGGGGTCTTCGGGTGATTTTTGGGAGGTTTTTGTGAGGTTTTGGAGGGATTTTTGGGGTTTTTGGAGGGATTTTTGGGGTTTGGGGGAGGATTCTGAGGAGATTTGAGGGGGTTTTGGGAGAATTTGGGATTTTGGGGGGCTCTTGGAGGAGTTTTGCAGAGGTTTTAGGGGATTTGGGGAGGTTCTGGGGGGATTTTGGGGAGGTCTTGGATGGTTTAGGGGAGGATTTGGGGCGGTTTCGGGCAGGATCTGGGGAGATTTTGGGGGTCTTCGGGTGATTTTGGGTAGGTTTTTGGGATGTTTTAGGGTTTTTGGAGGGATTTTGTTGAGTTTTTTGGGGTTTTTTTGTAGTTTTTTGAGGGATTTTTGGGGTTTTTTGGGGGGATCTTGAGGAGGTCTTGGACTGTTAAGCGGAGGATTTACGGCGGTTTCAGGGAGGATTTGGGGGGAATTTGGCAGTCTTCGGGTGATTTTAGGGAGGTTTTTGTGAGGTTTTGGAGGGATTTTTGGGGTTTTTGTAGGGATTTTTGGGGTTTGGGAGAGGCTTCTGAGGAGATTTGAGGGGATTTTGGGAGAATTTGGGATTTTTAGGGGGATTTTTGGGGGTCTGTTGGAGGAGTTCTTCAGAGGTTTTAGGGGGATTTGGGGAGGTTTTGAGGGAACTTCGGGGTGGTCTTGGGGGGATTTTGTGGAGGTCTTGCGGAGATTTTGGGGATTTTCTGGGGGGCTTTGTCTGGGTTTAGGGGGATTTGGGTGGGTTTCGGAGGATTTGGGGGATTTGGGTGGGTTTCGGAGGATTTGGGGGAACTTTTGAGGATTTTGGGGCGCTCGCGGTCAGCAACGCGCAGCTGCGGGAGCTGAGCCCGCGCCGCTGCCCCGCCCACTTCCTGCTGCCCCCTGGCGGCCTCAGCGCGGGACTGCGCGGCCGCGCCGTGCTCCTGCACCCCCTCAGCAAATAAACGGCCTTTCTGAGGGGATTTTGTGGGGTTTTTTTGGTTTTTTGGGTTTTTTTGGGTTTTTTTTGTGGTTTTTTGTGGGATTTTTGGGTTTTTTGTGGGATTTTTGGGGTTTTGGGGGGGTTTTTTCGGGGGATTTTTGGGAGGTCTTGCAGTGTTTAGCGGAGGATTTGGGGCGCTTTTGGGGAGGATTTGGGGGTCTTCCGGTGACTTTGGAGATGTTTTTGGGAGGTTTTGGGGTTTTTGGAAGGATTTTGTTGGGTTTTTTGGGGTTTTTTGAGTATTTTTTGTGGGATTTTTGGGGTTTTTGGGGAGGTCTTGGAGGGTTTAGGGGAGGATTTGGGGCGGTTTCGGGGAGGATCTGGGGGGATTTTCGGGGTCTTGGAAGGATTTTTCGGAGGTTTTTGGGAGGTTTTGGGGGGATTTTTGAGGTTTGGGGGAGGATTTTGAGAAGATTTGAGGGGATTATGGGAGAATTTGGGACTTTCTGGGGGCTCTTGGAGAGGAGTTTTGCAGAGGTTTTAGGGGGATTTGAGGAGGTTCTGAGGGAACTTTGAGGTGGTCTTGGGGGGATTTTGTGGAGGTCTTGGGGGGATTTTGGGGATGTTCTGGGGGCCTTTGTGTGGGTTTTGGGAGATTTGGGTGGGTTTTGGAGAATTTGGGGGATTTGGGTGTGGTTCGGAGGATTTGGGGGAACTTTTGAGGATTTTGGGGCGCTCGCGGTCAGCAACGCGCAGCTGCGGGAGCTGAGCCCGCGCCGCTGCCCCGCCCACTTCCTGCTGCCCCCTGGCGGCCTCAGCGCGGGACTGCGCGGCCGCGCCGTGCTCCTGCACCCCCTCAGCAAATAAACGGCCTTTCTGAGGGGATTTTGTGGTTTTTTTGGGTTTTTGAGGATTTTTTGTGGGATTTTTGGGTTTTTTGAGGGATTTTTGGGTATTTTGGGGGGATTTTTGGGGTTTTTTGGGGGATTTTTGGGAGGCCTTGCAGTGTTTAATGGAGGATTTACGGCGGTTTCAGGAAGGGTTTGTGGGGATTTTGGGGGTCTTCGGGTGATTTTGAGGATGTTTTTGTGAGGTTTTGGGGTTTTTGGAAGGATTTTGTTGGGTTTTTTGGGGTTTTTGAGGATTTTTTGTGGGATTATGGGGTTTTTTTGGGGAGATTTTGGGGAGCCCTTGCAGTGTTTAGCGGAGGATTTGGGGCGGTTTCAGGGAGGATCTGGGGGGATTTGGGGGTCTTCGGGTGATTTTGATGATGTTTTTGAGGGGATTTTTGGGGTTTGGGGGAGGATTTTAAGGAGATTTGAAGGGTTTTTTTTGAGATTTGAGGGGGTTTTGGGAGAATTTGGGATTTTTGGGGGGATTTTTGGGAGGTCTTGGAGGGTTTAGCGGAGGATTTGAGGCGGTTTCAGGGAGGATTTGGGGGGATTTTGGGGGTGTTCGGGTGATTTTGGGGATGATTTTGGGAGGTTTTGGGGTTTTTGGAAGGATTTTGTTGGTTTTTTTGGGGTTTTTTGTGGTTTTTGTGGGATTTTTGGGGGTTTTGGGGGGATTTTGCGGAGGTCTCGGCGTGTTTAGCGGAGGATTTGGGGCGGTTTCAGGGAGGATTTTGGGGGTCTTTGGGTGATTTTTGGGGTATTTTTGGGACGTTTTGGGGGGATTTTTGGGGTTTTTGGAGGGATTTTTGGGGTTTGGGGGAGGATTTTGAGGAGATTTGAGGGGGTTTTGGGAGAATTTGGGATTTTGGAGGGGATTTTTGGGGGGCTCTTGGAGAGGACTTTTGCAGAGGTTTTAAGGGGATTTGGGGAGGTTCTGGGGGAACTTTGGGGTGGTCTTGGGGAGGTTTTGGGGGGATTTTGGGGAGGTCTTGGAGGGTTTAGGGGAAGATCTGAGGCGGTTTTGGGGGGATTTGGGGAGGATTTTGGGGGGTTTTGGGGGTCCTGGGATTTTTGGGGGAGGTTTTGGGTTGATTTAGGGGGTTTTGGGGGGTCTTGAGGAGATTTGAGGGGGATTTGGGGGCATTTTTGGGGTTTTTTGGGGGGATTTTGAGGAGGTCTTGGAGGGTTTAGGGGGGAGTTTGGGTGGTCTTAGGCGGATTTTGGGGAGGTTTTGGGGGATTTTTAGGGAAATTTTGAGGATTTTTTGGGGGGGTCTCGGGGGTCTCTGAGGGCGCTCGCGGCCGCCAATGACCCTGCAGCCCCTCCCCAAGTTAACAACCCCCCTGGAGACCCCTCCCCACATTAAATAAATGGGTTTTTTTGAGATGTTTTTGGGGTTTCGGTTCCGATCAGGATTCCAAAGCGTTCCCGGTCATGGTTCCGATCCCGGTTCCAGAGGCTCCCGGTCCCGGTTCTGAGGCGTTCCCGGTCCCGGTCCCGGTTCCGATTACAGCCCCACTTCCAGAGGTTCCCGGTGCCAGTGCCGGCCCCGGTTCCGATCCCAGTCCCGGTTCTGAAGCACTCCCGGTTCCGATCCCGGCCCCGATTCCAAAGCGCTCCCGGTGTCGGTGCCAGTTCTGATCCCAGTCCCGGTTCCGATCCCGGTCCCGATTACAGCCCCGGTTCCAGAGGTTCCCGGCGCCGGCCCCGGTGCCGATCCCGGTCCCGGTTCCGAAGCACTCCCAGTTCCGATTCCGGTGCCGATTCCAATCCCGGTCCCGGTCCCGGTCCCGGTCCCGGTCCCGGTCCTGGTCCTGGTCCTTTCCCCTCACGGTCCCGCCCTTTCCTCGCCCCTTTCCCCTCACGGTCCCGCCCTTTCCTCGCCCCTTTCCCCTCACGGTCCCGCCCTTTATTTGACCACGCCCCCTTTTCCACCTTGGCCCCGCCCATCTCCTGGCGCGTTGTATCAGCGCATGCGCAGTATACCCGGAAGTGTCTGCCGTGGGCGCCGCCATCTTTGTTCCCGGTCCCCCGGCCCGGCTCCAGCATGTCGGAGACCTACGGTGCGGCCATAGGGGATCTATAGGGGATCTATAGGGGATCTATAGGGGCTCCGGGGGGAAACTGTGGCGGTTTTGGGGCTGGAGGCGTCTGGGGGTCTCTGTAGGGGATGGGGGGTGGCTCTGGGGGGTCTATGGGGGGAGCTATAGGGGGGCTATAGGGGATCTATAGGGTTAGGGGGGGCTGTGGAGGGTCTGGGGGTGTCTATAGGGGATCTATAGGGGTTCTGTGGGGGTCCGGGGGTGTCTATAGGGGATTGGAGGGGCCTCTATGGGGGTCTGGGGGGCTCTATAGGGGATTGGGGGTGGCTATGGGGGATCTATAGGGGATCTATAGGGGTCTGGGGGCTCTATAGGGTCTCTATAGGGGATTTGGAGGGGCTATAGGGGATCTGGGGGGGTCTGGGGGGATGTGGGTGTCCCTCGAGGGGATTCTGGGGGTCTCTATAGGGGATTTGGGGTCTCTATAGGGGATTTGGGGTCTCTATGGGGGATTTGGGGTCTCTATAGGGGATTTGGGTTCTCTATAGGGGATCTATAGGGGATTTGGGGTCTCTATAGGGCTCTATGGGGGATTTGGGGTCTCTATAGGGGATCTATAGGGGATTTGGGGTCTCTATAGGGGATTTGGGGTCTCTATGGGGGATTTGGGGTCTCTATAGGGGATTTGGGGTCTCTATGGGGGATTTGGGGTCTCTATAGGGGATTTGGGGTCTCTATGGGGGATTTGGGGTCTCTATAGGGGATTTGGGGTCTCTATAGGGCTCTATAGGGGATTTGGGGTCTCTATAGGGGATTTGGGGTCTCTATAGGGGATTTAGGGTCTCTATAGGGGATTTGGGGTCTCTATAGGGCTCTATAGGGGATTTGGGGTCTCTATGGGGGATTTGGGGTCCCTATGGGGGATTTGGGGTCTCTATAGGGGATTTGGGGTCTCTATAGGGGATTTGGGGTCTCTATAGGGGATTTGGGGTCCCTATAGGGGATCTATAGGGGATTTGGGGTCTCTATAGGGGATTTGGGGTCTCTATAGGGGATTTGGGGTCTCTATGGGGGATTTGGGGTCCCTATAGGGGATCTATAGGGGATTTGGGGTCTCTATAGGGGATTTGGGGTCTCTATAGGGGATTTGGGGTCTCTATGGGGGATTTGGGGTCTCTATAGGGGATCTATAGGGGATTTGGGGTCTCTATAGGGGATTTGGGGTCTCTATGGGGGATTTGGGGTCCCTATGGGGGATTTGGGGTCTCTATAGGGGATTTGGGGTCTCTATAGGGGATTTGGGGTCTCTATAGGGGATTTGGGGTCTCTATAGGGGATTTGGGGTCCCTATAGGGGATTTGGGGTCTCTATAGGGGATTTGGGGTCTCTATAGGGGATTTGGGGTCTCTATGGGGGATTTGGGGTCTCTATAGGGGATCTATAGGGGATTTGGGGTCTCTATAGGGGATTTGGGGTCTCTATAGGGGATTTGGGGTCTCTATGGGGGATTTGGGGTCTCTATGGGGGATTTGGGGTCTCTATGGGGGATTTGGGGTCTCTATGGGGGATTTGGAGTCTCTATAGGGGGTTTGGGGTCTCTATAGGGGATTTGGGGTCTCTATGGGGGATTTGGGGTCTCTATGGGGGATTTGGGGTCTCTATGGGGGATTTGGGGTCTCTATAGGGGATTTGGGGTCTCTATAGGGGGTTTGGGGTCTCTATGGGGGATTTGGGGTCTCTATGGGGCTCTATGGGGGATTTGGGGTCTCTATAGGGGATTTGGGGTCTCTATGGGGGATTTGGGGTCTCTATAGGGGATTTGGGGTCTCTATAGGGGATTTGGGGTCTCTATGGGGGATTTGGGGTCCCTATAGGGGATTTGGGGTCTCTATGGGGGATTTGGGGTCTCTATAGGGGATTTGGGGTCTCTATAGGGGATTTGGGGTCTCTATAGGGGATTTGGGGTCCCTATAGGGGATCTATAGGGGATTTGGGGTCTCTATAGGGGATTTGGGGTCTCTATAGGGGATTTGGGGTCTCTATGGGGGATTTGGGGTCCCTATAGGGGATCTATAGGGGATTTGGGGTCTCTATAGGGGATTTGGGGTCTCTATGGGGGATTTGGGGTCTCTATGGGGGATTTGGGGTCCCTATAGGGGATCTATAGGGGATTTGGGGTCTCTATAGGGGATTTGGGGTCTCTATAGGGGATTTGGGGTCTCTATGGGGGATTTGGGGTCCCTATAGGGGATCTATAGGGGATTTGGGGTCTCTATAGGGGATTTGGGGTCTCTATGGGGGATTTGGGCTCTCTATAGGGGATTTGGGGTCTCTATGGGGGATTTGGGGTCCCTATAGGGGATCTGTAGGAGTTTGGGGGTCCCTATAGGGAATTGGGGGGGGGGGAGTCTATAGGGGTCTACGTAATTTTGGGTCAAAATTTGGGAATTTTGGGTCTAAATTGGGGAATTTTGGGTCTAAATTTGGGGATTTGGGGTATTTTATGTCTGAATTTGGGAATTTTGGGTCTAAATTTGGGAATTTTGTGTCTAAATTTGGGAATTTTGGGTCTGAATTTGGGAATTATTTTGGATCTAAATTTGGGAATTTTGGGTCTAAATTTGGGAATTTAATGTCTAAATTTGGGGATTTTCTGTCTAAATTTGGGAAATTTGGGAATTTTGGGGAATTTGGGGTCTAAATTTGGGGATTTTGGGTCTGAATGTGGGGAATTTTGGGTCTAAATTTGGGATTTTTGTGACTAAATTAGGGAATGTTGGGGGATTTTGTATCTAAATTTGGGAATTTTGGGTCTAAATTTGGGAATTTTGTGTCTAAAATTGGGAATTTTGGGGAATTCTGGGGAATTTTGGGGAATCTGGGGGTCTAAATTTGGGGATTTTGGGTCTAAATTTGGGAATTTTAGGGATTTTTGGGTCTAAATGTGGGAGTTTTGGGGATTTTTGGGGAATTTGGGGACTAAATTTGGGAATTTTGGGTCTAAATTTGGGGATTTTGGGGTATTTTATGTCTGAATTTGGGAATTTTGGGTCTAACTATGGGAATTTTGCGTCTAAATTTGGGAATTTTGTGCCTAAATTTAGGAATTTTGGGTCAAAATTTGGGGATTTTGGGTCTGAATTTGGGAATTATTTTGTGTCTAAATTTGGGAATTATTTTGTGTCTAAATTTGGGATTTTTTTGGGAATTTTTTCCCAGATTTCCTCTTCAAGTTCCTGGTGATCGGCAGCGCCGGCACCGGCAAATCCTGCCTGCTGCACCACTTCATCGAGAGCAAGTGTAGGGCCCGGATTTGGGGCAATTTTGGGGAATTTTGGGGAATCTTGGGGATTTTGGGGAATTTTGGGGGATTTTGGGGAATTTGGCGGATTTTTTGGCAATTTTTTGGGGGATTTTTTGGCATTTTTTGAGATTTTTCTTGCTTTTTTCTGGATTTTTTTGATTTTTTTGGGGCATTTTCTGAGGATTTTTTAAATTTTTTTTTGAATTTTTGGGGTTTTTTTTTTAATTTGCGGAATTTTTGAGGATTTTTTGTATTTTGGGGAATTTTTTTGCCATTTTTGGGTGATTTTTTTGAATGTTTTTGCATTTTTTGGGAATTTTGGGGAAGTTTTGGGAATATTTGTTAATTTTTTGCTGTTTTTTGGCATTTTTGCAGAATTTGGGGGAATTCTGGGGATTTTAGGGAATTTTGGGCATTACTTAGGGTTATTTGGGAATTTTTGGGGATTTTTTTTTAATGTTTGGGAATTTTTTAGCATTTTTTGAGATTTTTTTTGCTTTTTTCTGGAATTTTTTGATTTTTTTTTTGGCATTTTCTGAGGATTTTTAAAGGTTTTTTTTAATTTTTGGGGATTTTTTTTTAATTTGGGGGATTTTTGAGGATTTTTTGCATTTTGGGGCATTTTTTTGCCATTTTTGTGAATATTTTTGCATTTTTGGGGAATTTTGGGGAAGTTTTGGGAATATTAGTGAATTTTTTGCCGTTTTTTGGCATTTTTGGGGAATTTGGGGGAATTCTGGGGATTTTAGGGAATTTTGGGCATTACTTGGGGTTATTTGGGAATTTTTTGGGATTTTTTTTAATTTTTGGGGATTTTTTTGCATTTTTTGAGATTTTTTTTGCCTTTTTCTGGATTTTTTAGATTTTTTTTTTGCATTTTCTGAGGAATTTTTTTTATTTTTTTGAATTTTTGGCGATTTTTTTTAATTTGGGAAATTTTTGAGGATTTTTGGCATTTTGGGGAATTTTTATGCATTTTTGGGTAATTTTTGTGAATATCTTTGCATTTTGGGGGAATTTGGGGGAAGTTTTGGGAATATTTGTGGGGTTTTTTTTCCGTTTTTTGCCATTTTTTACTTCTTTCCCAATTTTTTCCCCATTTTTTCCCAACTTTCCCCATTTTCCCCCGTTTCCCCCATTTCCCCCATTTTCCCAATTTTTCCCATTTTTCCCAATAATACCCTTTTTTTCCATTTTTTTCCCATTTTTTCCCATTTTTTCCCATTTTTTCCCATTTTTCCCCATTTCCCCCCATTTTCCCCATTTCTCCCCCATTTTTCCCCATTTCTCCCCATTTTCCCCATTTTTCCTTTTTTTCCCCATTTTTCCTTTTTTCCCCATTTTTCCCCCATTTTTGCCCATTTTTGCCCATTTTTGCCCTTTTCCCTGTTTTTTCCCATTTTCCCCATTTTTTTTCTTTTTTCCCATTTTTCCCCATTTTTCCCCATTTTCCCCATTATTCTCCATTTCCCCCTATTTTTCCCTATTTTTCCAATTTTTTCCCAATTTCTCCCATTTCCCCCCTTTTTCCCCTAATTTTCCCCATTTTTTCCCATTTTTCCCCACTTTCCCCATTTCCCCCCATTTCTCCCCATTTTCCCCCCATTTCCCCCCATTTTCCCCCCATTATTCCCCTTTTTCCCCCCATTTTTCCCCCTTTTTTTTCTCATTTTTTCTCATTTTTCCCAATTTTTCCCTAATTTTCCCCATTTTCCAGTCAAGCAGGATTCCAACCACACCATCGGGGTGGAATTTGGCTCCAAAGTCGTCAACGTGGGCGGCAAAAGCGTCAAACTGCAGATCTGGGACACGGCCGGCCAGGAACGCTTCAGGTCCAAAATTCCTTTTTTTCTACTTTTTCCCTTCTTATCCCACTTTTCCCTCATTTTTCCCACTTTTTTCCTCTTTTTTCCCTTTTTTCCCTTTTTTTTTCCCTGATTTTTCCTGATTTTTTCTGATTTTTTTCCTGATTTTTCCTCATTTTTTCCTCATTTTTTCATTATTTTTTCCTTCTTTTTTCCCTGATTTTCCCTGATTTTTCCTGATTTTTTCTGATTTTTTTTCTGATTTTTCCTGATTTTTTTCTGACTTTTCCCTGATTTTTTCCTCCTTTTTTTTTCATTTTTCCTAATTTTTCCCCATTTTTTTTCCTCAATTTTTTCATTATTTCTTCCTTCTCTTTTTCCTGATTTTTCCTGATTTTTCCATCATTTTTCATCATTTTTCCTCATTTTACCTCATTTTACCTCATTTTTTTCTCATTTTTCCTGTTGTTTTCCTCATTTTCCTGATTTTGCACATTTTTTCCTCATTTTTCCTGATTTTCCCAGATTTTTTTCCTCTTTTTTCCCTGATTTTTTCTGATTTTTTCCTGATTTTTCCTGATTTTTTCCCTGACTTTTCCCTGATTTTTTCCTCCTTTTTTATTTTTCCTCATTTTTCCTCATTTTTTCCCTCATTTTTTTCATTATTTCTTCCTTCTTTTTTCCATGATTTTTCCTGATTTTTTCTGATTTTTCCTGATTTTTCCTGATTTTTTCCTGATTTTTCCCTGATTTTTTCCTCCTTTTTTTCTTCATTTTTCCTAATTTTAACCTCTTTTTTTTCCCTCATTTTTTTCATTATTTCTTCCTTCTTTTTTCCCTGATTTTTCCTGATTTTTTCTGATTTTTTTCCTGATTTTTCCTGATTTTTTTTTCTGATTTTTCCCTGATTTTTTCCTCCTTTTTTCTTCATTTTTCCTAATTTTTCCTCATTTTTTTCCCTCATTTTTTTTCATTATTTCTTCCTTCTTTTTTCCTGATTTTTCCTGATTTTTTCTGATTTTTTCCTGATTTTTCCTGATTTTTTTTCTGATTTTTCCCTGATTTTTTCCTCCTTTTTTCTTCGTTTTTCCAAATTTTTCCTCATTTTTTCCTTATTTTTTTCATTATTTTTCCTTCTTTTTTCCCTGATTTTCCCTGATTTTTTCTGATTTTTCCTGATTTTTCCTGATTTTTTTTCTGATTTTTCCCTGATTTTTTCCTCCTTTTTTCTTCATTTTTCCTAATTTTTCCTCATTTTTTTTCCTCATTTTTTTCATTATTTCTTCCTTCTTTTTTCCCTGATTTGTCCTGATTTTTTCTGATTTTTCCTGACTTTTCCCTGATTCTTTTCCTTCTTTTTTCTTCATTTTTCCTAATTTTTCCTCATTTTTTCCTAATTTTTTCAATATTTTTTCCTTCTTTTTTTCATAGTTTTTCCTGATTTTTCCTGATTTTTTCATAATTTTTCCTCATTTTACCTCATTTTTTCCTCATTTTTCCTGTTGTTTTTCCTCGTTTTCCTGATTTTTGCTCATTTTTTCCTCATTTTTCCTGATTTTCCCTGACTTTTTTCCTCTTTTTTCCCTGTTTTTTTCTGATTTTTCCTGATTTTCCAGATTTTTCCTGTTTTTTTCTTTTTTCCCTCTTTTATTTGTCATTTTTCTATAATTTTTCCTAATGTTTCATGTTTTTCTTCTCTTTTTTCCAGTTTTGTCTCCAGTTTTTCCTCATTTTACCCTATTTTCCCCCATTTCCTGCCATTTTTCCCATTTTCTCCATTCCCCCCAATTCTTCCCAATTTCCCCCAATTTTTCCCATTTTCCCCAATTTCCCCCATTATTTCCCCAATTTCCCCCCAAATTTCTTCCAATTTTCCCCACATTTCCCCCAATTCCCAGACATTATTTTCCCTGATATTTTCCCTAATTTCCCCCAAATTCCCCCCATTTTCTCCAATTATTTTCCCATTTCCCCCCAATTTCACCCCAAATTTCCCCCCATTTTTCCCCAATTTTTCCCCCATTATTTTCCCCAATTCCCCCAAATTTTCCCCCATCCCCCCCATTTTCTCCCATTATTTTCCCCCATTATTTTCCCATTATTCCCCAATTTCCCCCCAATTTTCCCCTATTTTTCCCACATTCCCCCCCCATTATTTTCCCCATTTCCCCCCATTATTTTCCCTTTTTTCTCCAATTTCCCCCCATTATTTTCCCACATTATTTTTTCCAAATTCCCCAATTTTCTCTCAATTTCCCCCCATTTCCCCCCGTTATTTTCCCATTTTCCCCCAAATTCCCCCCGAATTTTCCCCAATTTCTCCCCATTTATTTTTCCCATTATTTCCCCCAATTTCCACATTATTTCCCCAATTTTTCCCCATTTTCCTCACATTTTCCCCCAATTTTCCCCCAATTTCCCCCTACTTTCACCCCAAATTTCTTCCAATTTTCCCCCTAAGTTCTTCCAATTTTACCTAACTTCCCTAATTTTCCCCCCATTTTCCCCAAATTTCCCCAAATTCCCCAAAATTCCCCAATTTCCCCCATTAATTTCCCCACTTTTCCCCTAATTCCCCCCATTTTTCCCAATTTCCCAACATTTCCCTCCAATTTTTCTCCCATCTCGCCAGTTTCCCCCAAATTTTTGCCCATTTTCTCACATTTTCCCCCAATTTCCCCCCATTATTTTCCCAATTTTCCCCCAATTTCCCCCCAATTTTCCCCCATTATTTTCCCCATTATTTCCCCCAATTTCCCCGAATTCCCCCAAATTTCCCCATTTTCCTCACATTTTTTTCCAATTTTTCTCAATTTTCCCCCAATTTCTCCAATTTTTCCCCAATTTCCCCCCATTATTTTCCCCGTTATTTTCCCCAAATTCTCCCAATTTTTCCTCAATTTCCCCCCATTATTTTCTCAAATTTGCCCCAATTTCCCCCACTATTTCCCTAATTTCTCCCCAAATTTTCTCCCAAATTCCCCCCAATTTTCCCAAATTCCCGCAAAATTTCCCCCATTTTTCTCACATTTTTACCCAATTTCCCCCCATTATTCTCTGTTATTTTCCCCAATTCCCTCAATTTTCCCCCCAATTTCCCGCATTTTTCCCAAATTTTCCCCCATTATTTCCACGTTATTTTTCACAATTTCCCCAAATTCCCCCAATTTCCCCCCAAATTTTCCCCTAATTTTCCCTAAATTCCCCAATTTCCCCAATTTTTCCCCATTTTCCTCACATTTTTCCTGATTTTCCCCCATTATTTTCTCCAATTTCCCCCCAATTTTCCCCCAAATTTCTTCCAATTTCTCCCAATTTCTTCCAATTTTCCCCAAATTTCTTCCAATTTTCCCCCAAATTTCCCCCCAAATTTCCCCAATTTTCCCCCAATTTTCCCCCAAATTTCCCCAAATTCCCCCTGATTTCCCCCCAAATTTTCCCAATTTCCCCCAAATTTCCCCAATTTTCCCCCTGATTTCCCCCCAAATTTTCCCAATTTCCCCCAAATTTCCCCAAATTTCCCCAAAATTTCCCCAATTTTCCCCAATTCCCCCAATTTCCCCCAATTTCCCCCCAAATTTCCCTAATTCCTCCCAAATTTTCACCCAAATTTTCACCCAAATTTCCCCAATTTCCCCCCATTTTGCCCCAATTTTCCCACAAATTTCCCCAATTTCCCCCCAAATTTCCCCAGTTTCCCCCAAATTTTTTCCAATTTTCCCCAATTCCCCCAATTTCCCCCCAAATTTCCCTAATTCCCCCCAAATTTTCCCCCATATTTCCCCAATTTCCCCCCATTTTGCCCCAATTTTCCCACAAATTTTCCCAATTTCCCCCAGATTTCTCCCAATTTTCCCCCAAATTTCTCCCAATTTCCCCAAATTTACCAAATTCCCCCAAATTTCCCCCAATTCCCGCAGGTCGGTGACGCGCAGTTATTACCGCGGGGCCGCCGGGGCGCTGCTCGTCTATGACATCACCAGGTGAGGGCGTGGCCTGTGACGTCATCAACGCGCGGGTGACATCATCGGGGGGGGGGCGATGACGTCACCGCTGCCGATTTCTGACCTTCGGGGGCATTTTGGGGCATTTCTGTCTTTTTTTCCAATTTTTTCCCATTTCTTCCTTCATTTCCCCGGCTGAGAGTGACATCACCACGCGCACTTATGACGTCATCATGTGAATTTATGACATCATCATGTGAATTTAGGACACTTTGGAGCCGTTTTTTCCCATTTTCTCAGGTTTTCCCCCATTTTTTTCCCGTTTTTTCACATTTTTCACCCATTTTTTCCCATTTCTGGCATTTCTGACCCCGTTTCCCAGCCAGGAGACGTCCAATTCAATGGCGCAGTGGCTGTGACGTCATCCTATGAATTTATGACGTCATCATGTGAATTTATGACACTTTGGAGCAGTTTTTTCCCATTTTTCCCAATTTTTTCACGGTTTTTTCCCATTTTTTCCCATTTCTGGCATTTCTGACCCCATTTCCCAGCCAGGACACGTCCAATGCACAGACACAGTGGCTGTGACGTCATCCTATGAATTTATGACGTCATCAAGTGAATTTATGACATTTTGGAGCCGTTTTTTCCCATTTTCTCAGGTTTTCCCCCATTTTTTCACATTTTTTTCCCATTTTTTCCCATTTCTGGCATTTCTGACCCCGTTTCCCAGCCAGGACACGTCCAATGCACGGGCGCAATGGCTGTGATGTCATCCTATGAATTTATGACGTCATCATGTGAATTTATGACACTTTGGAGCCGTTTTTTCCCATTTTTCCCAATTTTTTCACATTTTTCTCCCATTTTTTCCCATTTCTGTCGTTTCTGTCCCCATTTCCCAGCCGGGAGACGTACAACGCTCTGGCGCAGTGCCTGTGACATCATCATGTGAATTTATGACTTTTTTATCCCATTTTCTTCCATTTTTTCCCCAATTTTTTTCCCATTTTTTCCCATTTTTTCCCATTTTTTCACATTTTTCTCTTGTTTTTTCCCATTTCTGCCGTTTCTGTCCCCAATTTCCAGCCAGGAGATGTCCAACGCTCTGGTGCAGTGTCTGTGAGGTCAACATGTGAATTTATGACTTTTTGGTCCCATTTTTTTGCCATTTTCTTCCATTTTTCACGTTTTTCTCTCGTTTTTTTTTGGTTTTTTTCCGGTTTTTCACATTTTTCTCCCGTTTTTTCCCGTTTCTGCCATTTTTTTCCCCATTTCCCAGCCGGGAGACGTCCAACGCGCTGGCGCAGTGGCTGACGGACGCGCGGACCTTGGCCAGCCCCAACATCGTCATCATCCTCTGCGGCAACAAGAAGGACCTGGAGGGGGAACGGGAGGTGACGTTCCTGGAGGCCTCGAGATTCGCACAGGAAAACGGTGTGAAAAACGGGGAAAATGGGAAAAAATGGGGAAAACAGGGAAAAATGGGGAAAAAATGGGAAAAAATGCAAAAAAAATGGAAAAAAACTGAAAAAAAAATGGGGAGAAAATGGGGTAAAAGGGGTTTGGGATCATGGGAGGTGACATTCCTGGAGGCCTCGAGATTCGCACAGGAAAATGGTGCGAAAAACGGGGAAAATGGGAAAAAATGGGAAAAACGGGGAAAAACGGGGAAAAAATGGGGAAAAATGGGAGAAAAATGGAAAAAAAATAGGAAAAAATGGGGAGAAAATGGGAGAAAATGGGGTAAAAGGGGTTTGGGTTTGTGGGGAGGTGACGTTCCTGGAGGCCTCGAGATTCGCCCAGGAAAATGGTGAGAAAAACGGGGAAAATGGGAAAAAATGGGGAAAATGGGCAAAAACGGGGAAAAAATGGGAAAAAATGAGAATAAATGGGGAAAAAATGGGGAGAAATGGGAAAAAATGGGGTAAAAGGGGTTTGGGATCATGGGAGGTGACGTTCCTGGAGGCCTCGAGATTCGCCCAGGAAAACGGTCTGAAAAACGGGGAAAATGGGAAAAAATGGGCAAAATGGGGAAAAACGGGGAAAAATGGGGAAAAATGGAAAAAAAATGGAAAAAAAACTGAAAAAAAATGGGGAGAAAATGGGAAATAATGGGGTAAAAGGGGTTTGGGATTGTGGGGAAGTGACATTCCTGGAGGTCTTGTGCTTTGCCCGGGAAAATGGTCAGAAAAACGGGGAAAATGGGAAAAAATGGGGAAAATGGGGAAAAATGGGAAAAAATGGGAAAAATGGGAATAAATGGGGAAAAAATGGGAAAAAATGGGGTAAAAGGGGTTTGGGATCGTGGGGAGGTGATGTTCCTGGAGGCCTCGAGATTCGCACAGGAAAACGGTCAGAAAAACAGGGAAAACGGGAAAAAATGGGCAAAACGGGGAAAAATGGGGAAAAATGGGAAAAAATGGAAAAAAATGGGAAAAATGGGAAAAAATGGGGGAAAATGGGTTTGGGATCGTGGGGAGGTGACGTTCCTGGAGGCCTCGAGATTCGCCCAGGAAAATGGTCCGGAAAATGGGGAAAATGGGAAAAAATGGGCAAAATGGGGAAAAACGGGGAAAAAATGGGAAAAAAAATGGAAAAAAAGGGGAAAAATAGGGATAAAATGGGAAAAAATGGGGAGAAAATGGGAAATAATGGGGTAAACGGGTTTGGGATCGTGGGAGGTGACATTCCTGGAGGCCTCGAGATTTGCCTGAGAAAATGGTCAGAAAAATGGGGAAAATGGGAAAAAATGGGCAAAACGGGGAAAAACGGGGAAAAAATGGGAAAAAACGGAAAAAAATGGAAAAAAAACGGGAAAAAATGGGGAGAAAATGGGATAAAATGCGGTAAAAGGGGTTTGGGATCATGGGAGGTGACATTCCTGGAGGCCTCGAGATTTGTCCGGAAAAACGGTCAGAAAAACAGGGAAAATGGGAAAAAATGGGGAAAACGGGGAAAAAATGGGAAAAAAAGGGAAAAATATGGAAAAAATGGGGAGAAAATGGGAAATAATGGGGTAAAAGGGGTTTGGGATCGTGGGGAGGTGACCTGCCTGTAGGTCTTGTGCTTTGCCCAGGAAAATGGTCAGAAAAACGGGGAAAATGGGAAAAAATGGGCAAAATGGGGAAAAATGGGGAAAAAATGGGAAAAAATGGGAAAAAAAGGAAAAAATGGGGAGAAAATGGGGTAAAAGGGGTTTGGGATCATGGGAGGTGACGTTCTTGGAGGCCTCGAGATTCGCCCAGGAAAACGGTCAGAAAAACGGGGAAAACGTGAAAAAATGGGAAAAAAATGGAAAAATGGGAAAAAATGGGAAAAAATGCAAAAAAAATGGGAGAAACGGGGAGAAAATGGGAGAAAATGGGGTAAAAGGGGTTTGGGATCGTGGGGAGGTGACATTCCTGGAGGCCTCGAGATTCGCACAGGAAAACGGTGCGAAAAACCGGGAAAATGGGAAAAAATGGGCAAAAATGGGCAAAAATGGGAAAAAAATGGAAAAAAAGGGGAAAAAATGGGGAGAAAATGGGAGAAAATGGGGTAAAAGGGGTTTGGGATCGTGGGCAGGTAACATTGCTGGAGGCCTCGAGATTCGCACAGGAAAACGGTGCGAAAAACGGGGAAAATGGGAAAAATGGGCAAAAAGGGGAAAAACGGGGAAAAAATGGGAAAAAAATGGGAAAAAAGGGGAAAAAATGGGAAAAAATTGGGATAAAATGGGATAAAATGGGATAAAAGGGGTTTGGGATCATGGGGAGGTGACCTGCCCAGAGGCCTCGCGCTTTGCCAAGGAAAACGGTCTGAAAAATGGGGAAAATGGGAAAAAATGGGCAAAATGGGGAAAAACGGGGAAAAAATGGGAAAAATGGGAATAAATGGGGAAAAAATGGGGAGAAAATGGGAAGAAATGGGGTAAAAGGGGTTTGGGATTGTGGGGAGGTGACATTCCTGGAGGTCTTGGGCTTCGTCCGGGATAATGGTCAAAAAAAAAGGGAAAATGGGAAAAAATGGGCAAAACGGGGAAAAATGGAAAAAAATGGAAAAAAACGGGAAAAAAATGGGAAAAAAACTGGAAAAAATGGGAAAAAATGGGAAAAAATGGGGTAAAAGGGGTTTGGGATCGTGGGGAGGTGACGTTCCTGGAGGCCTTGAGATTCGCCTGGGAAAATGGTCCGAAAAACGGGGAAAATGGGAAAAAATGGGAAAAAAATGGGAAAAAATGGGAAAAAACGGGAAAAAATGGGAGAAAAATGGAAAAAAACTGGAAAAAATGGGGGGAAAGTGGGAAAAAATGGGATAAAAGGGGTTTGGGATCGTGTGGAGGTGACGTTCCTGGAGGCCTCGAGATTCGCCCAAGAAAATGGTGTGAAAAATGGGGAAAATGGGAAAAAATGGGCAAAACAGGGAAAAATGGGTTAAAATGGGAAAAAATGCAAAAAAAATGGAAAAAAAACGGGAAAAAATGGGGAGAAAATGGGAAAAAATGGGGTAAAAGGGGTTTGGGATCATGGGAGGTGACATTCCTGGAGGTCTTGTGCTTTGCCCGGGAAAATGGTCAGAAAAACGGGGAAAACGGGACAAAATGGGGAAAAAATGGAAAAAATGGGAAAAAATGGGAAAAAAACAGGAGAAAATTGGAAAAAATGGGGAGAAAATGGGAAATAATGGGTAAAAATGGGATTTGGGATTGTGGGAATTTGGGGAAAAATGGGGGAAAATGGGATTTGGGATTGAGGGATTTTGGGGCAAAAAGGGGATTTAGGATTGTGGGATAATGGGAAAATAATGGGAATTAATGGGAGAATAATGGGAAATAATGGGGGAAAAATGGGATTTGGGATTGAGGGATTTTGGGGAAAAATGGGGATTTAGGATTGTGGGATAATGGGAAAATAATGGGAATTAATGGGGGAATAATGGGAAATAATGGGGGAAAATGGGATTTGGGATTGAGGGATTTTGGGGGAAAAATGGGATTTTGGGGGAATAATTTTTGGGGAAAATTCCTGGATGGAATAACGGGATTAACGGGATCCTGGGAATATTCCCATGGGAATAACGGGATTTTGGGAATATTCCCATGGGAATAACGGGAATGTTGGGAATATTCCCATGGGAATAACGGGATAATGGGGGAATATTCCCATGGGAATAACGGGATTTTGGGAATATTCCCATGGGAATAACGGGATCCTGGGAATATTCCCAGATGGAATAACGGGATCCTGGGAATATTCCCAGATGGAATAACGGGATTTTGGGGGAATAACGGGATTTTGGGAATATTCCCATGGGAATAACGGGATCCTGGGAATATTCCCATGGGAATAACGGGATTTTGGGAATATTCCCATGGGAATAACGGGATTTTGGGAATATTCCCATGGGAATAACGGGATTTTGGGAATATTCCCATGGGAATAACGGGAATGTTGGGAATATTCCCATGGGAATAACGGGATTCTGGGAATATTCCCATGGGAGTAACGGGATTTTGGGAATATTCCCAATGGGAATAACGGGATTTTGGGAATATTCCCATGGGAATAACGGGATATTGGGAATATTCCCATGGGAATAACGGGATTTTGGGAATATTACCATGGGAATAACGGGATCCTGGGGGAATAACGGGATATTGGGAATATTCCCATGGGAATAACGGGATATTGGGAATATTCCCAATGGGAATAACGGGATTTTGGGAATATTCCCAGTGGGAATAACGGGATTTGGGGAATATTCCCAGTGGGAATAACGGGATTTTGGGAATATTCCCAGTGGGAATAACGGGATTTTGGGGGATTTCTGGAGGAAATAACGGGATCCTGGGGGAATAACAGGATTTTGGGAATATTCCCATGGGAATAACGGGATTTTGGGAATATTCCCATGGGAATAACGGGATTTTGGGAATATTCCCAGTGGGAATAACGGGATTTTGGGAATATTCCCATGGGAATAACGGGATCCTGGGGGAATAACGGGATTTTGGGGCATTCCTGGAGGAAATAACGGGATTTTGGGGGAATAACGGGATCCTGGGAATATTCCCGATGGGAATTTCGGGAATTCCCGATTGGAATTTTGGGAATTCCGGGATTCAGAGCTGATGTTCCTGGAGACGAGCGCGCTGACGGGCGAGAACGTGGAGGAGGCGTTCCTCAAGTGCGCCAGAACCATCCTCAACAAGATCGACTCCGGTACCGCCGGAATTTGGGAATTTTGGGATTTGGGATTTGGGATTTGGGATTTGGGATTTGGGATGGAGGGTTTGGGATTTGGGGATTTGGGATTTGGGATTGGGGGAACGGGAATTTTGGGGAAATCGGGAATTTTGCCGTTCCTCAAGTGCGCCAGGACCATCCTCAACAAGATTGACTCCGGTACCGCCGGAATTTGGGATTTGGGAATTTTGGGAATTTGGGATTGAAGATTTGGGATTTGGGATTTTGGGATTTGGGATTTGGGATTTGGGATCCAGGGATGGAGGGGATGGATCCATGGGAATGAGGAATTTGGGGAATTTTGGGGTTCCTCAAGTGCGCCAGAACCATCCTCAACAAGATCGACTCCGGTACTGCCGGAATTTGGGATTTTGGGAATTTTGGGATTTGGGATTTGGGATTTGGGATCGGGAATTTGGGATCCAGGGGGTGAAGGGATGGATCCCTGGGAATGAGGAATTTGGGGAATTTTGGCGTTCCTCAAGTGCGCCAGAACCATCCTCAACAAGATCGACTCCGGTACCGCCGGAATTTGGGATTTGGGAATTTTGGGGATTTGGGATATGGGAATTTGGGATTTGGGATTTGGGATTTGGGATTTGGGGATTGGGGATTTGGGGTTTGGGATTGGGGATTTGGGATTTGGGGTTTGGGATTTGGGATTTGGGAATTTGGGATTTCAGATTTGGGGATTTGGGGATTTGGGATTTGGGATTTGGGGATTTGGGATTTGGGGATTTGGGATTTGGGATTTGGGGATTTGGGATTTGGGATTTGGGATTTGGGATTTGGGATTTGGGAATTTGGGATTTGGGATTTGGGATCGGGATTTGGGGATTTGGGATTTGGGGATTTGGGATTTGGGGATTTGGGATTTGGGATTTGGGATTTGGGATTTGGGATTTGGGATTTGGGATTTGGGGATTTGGAATTTGGATTTGGGATCCAGTATGGGGATCTGGGACCCCAAAATTCCCTTTTTTTTTTTTTTTTTCCCAGGAATTTGGGGGGATTTGGGACCCCAAAATTCCCAATTTTTTCCCAGGGATTTCGGGGGATTTGGGACCCCAAAATTCCCATTTTTTTCCCTCCCAGGGGAGCTGGATCCCGAGCGGATGGGATCAGGGATTTTGGGGGGATTTTAGGGGATTTTGGGGGAATTTTGGGCCCCAGAACCCCGGGTTTTTTTAGGGGATTTGGGAGGATTTTGGGGGATTTTAGGGGATTTTGGGGCCCCAGAACCCCGGGTTTTTTTTAGGGGATTTGGGGGAATTTGGGGGGGATTTTTCTGGATTCTGTGATCCCAAAATTCCCATTTTTCCCTGCCAGGGGAGCTGGATCCCGAGCGGATGGGGTCGGGGATCCAGTACGGGGACGCGTCGCTCCGGCAGCTCCGGCAGCCCCGGGGGGCTCCGGCCCCGAACCGGCAGAGCTGCGGCTGCTGAGACCCCCAAAAAATCCCAAAAATCCAGGTGAGACACCCCAAAAATATCCCAAAAAATCCAGGTGAGACACCCCAAAAATATCCCAAAAAATCCAGGTGAGATTCCCCAAAAATATCCCAAAAATCCATATTAGACACCCAAAAAATATCCCAAAAATCCGGGTGAGACACCCCCAAAAATATCCCAAAAATCCAGGTGAGACCCCCAAAATCCCTCAAAAATCCATATTAGACACCCGAAAAATATCCCAAAAAATCCAGGTGAGATCCCCCAAAAATCGCAGCTAAGACCCCCCCAAAATCCCCCCAAAAATCCAGCTGAGACCCCCCAAAAATATCCCAAAAAATCCAGGTGAGACACCCCAAAAAATATCCAAAAAATCCAGGTGAGACACCCCAAAAATATACCAAAAATCCCACCTGAGACCCTCCCAAAATCCCTCCAAAAATCCAGGTGAGAACCCCCAAAATAGCCCCAAATAATCCAGGTGAGACACCCCAAAAATATCCCAAAAAACCATATTAGACACCCGAAAAATATCCCAAAAATCCCACCTGAGACCCCCCAAAATAGCCCCAAAAAATCCAGGTGAGGCACCCCAAAAATATCCCAAAAAATCCACCTGAGATTCCCCAAAAATCCCACCTGAGACCCTCCAAAATCCCCTCAAAAATCCAGGTGAGACCCCCCCAAAAATATCCCAAAAATCCAGGTGAGACCCCCCAAAAATATCCCAAAAAATCCAGGTGAGTCACCCAAAAATATCCCAAAAAATCCAGGTGAGAACACCCCAAAATAGCCCCAAAAAATCCAGGTGAGACCCTCCAAAAAATCCAGGTGAGACACCCCAAAAATATCCCAAAAATCCATGTGAGACACCCAAAAAATATCCCAAAAAATCCACCTGAGATTCCCCAAAAATCCCACCTGAGATCCCCCCAAAATAGCCCCAAAAAATCCAGGTGAGACACCCCAAAAATATCCCAAAAATTCCAGGTGAGACCCCCCAAAAATATCCCAAAAATCCAGGTGAGATCCCCCCAAAAATATCCCAAAAAATCCAGGTGAGACACCCCAAAAAATCCAGGTGAGATCCCCTCCAAAAATCCCAGCTGAGACCCCCCAAAATAGCCCCAAAAAATCCAGGTGACAACCCCCAAAAATCCCACCTGAGACCCCCAAAAATATCCAGAAAATCCAGGTGAGATACCCCAAAAATATCCCAAAAAGTCCAGGTGAGACACCCCAAAAATATCCCAAAAAATCCAGGTGAGACCCCCCAAAAATATCCCAAAAAATCCAGGTGAGACCCCCCAAAAATATCCCAAAAAATCCACCTGAGATTCCCCAAAAATCCCACCTGAGACCCCCAAAAATATCCCAAAAATCCAAGTGAGACCCCCCAAAAATATCCCAAAAAATCCACCTGAAATTCCCCAAAAATCCCACCTGCGACCCCCCCCAAAATAGCCCCAAAAAATCCAGGTGAGATCCCCCAAAAATATCCCAAAAAGTCCAGGTGAGATCCCCCAAAAATATCCCAAAAAATCCAGGTGAGATTCCCCTAAAATAGCCCCAAAAAATCCAGGTGAGACACCCCAAAAATATCCCAAAAATCCCAGCTAAACCCCCCCCAAAAATATCCCAAAAATCCAGGTGAGACCCCCCAAAAATATCCCAAAAATCCAGGTGAGACACACCAAAATAGCCCCAAAAAATCCAGGTGAGACACCCCCAAAAATCCAGGTGAGACCCCCCCAAAAATATCCCCAAAATCCAGGTGAGATTCCCCAAAAATATCCCAAAAAATCCAGGTGAGACCCCCAAAAATATCCCAAAAAACCCAGGTGAGATTCCCCAAAAATATCCTGAAAATCCAGGTGAGATCCCCCAGAAATATCCCAAAAAATCCACCTGAGATTCCCCAAAAATCCCACCTGAGACCCCCCAAAATCCCCCCAAAAATCCAGGTGAGACCCCCCAAAAATATCCCAAAAAATCCAGGTGAGACCCCCCAAAAATATCCCCAAAATCCAGGTGAGACACCCCAAAAATATCCCAAAAAATCCCAGCTTAGATCCCCCCAAAATCCCAGGTGAGATCCCCCAAAAATATCCCGAAAATCCAGGTGAGATACCCCAAAATAGCCCCAAAATAGCCCCAAAAAATCCAGGTGACAACCCCCAAAAAATCCAGGTGAGACCCCCCCAAAAATATCCCAAAAAATCCAGGTAAGACACCCCAAAAATATCCCAAAAAATCCACCTGAAATTCCCCAAAAATCCCACCTGAGACACCCAAAAATATCCCAAAAAATCCAGGTGAGACACCCGAAAAATATCCCAAAAAATCCACCTGAGATTCCCCAAAAATCCCACCGGAGACCCCCCCAAAATCCCCCCAAAAATCCAGGTGAGACACCCAAAAATATCCCAAAAATCCAGGTGAGACCCCCCAAAAATATCCCAAAAATCCAGGTGAGACCGCCCAAAAATATCCCAGAAAATCCAGGTGAGACACCCCAAAATAGCCCCAAAAAATCCAGGTGAGACCCCCCAAAAATATCCCAAAAAATCCAGGTGAGATCCCCCAAAAATATCCCAAAAAATCCAGGTGAGACCCCCCAAAAATATCCCAAAAAATCCAGGTGAGATCCCCCCAAAATCCCTCAAAAATCCAGGTGAGACCCCCCAAAAATATCCCAAAAATCCAGGTGAGATTCCCCCAAAAATATCCCAAAAATCCAGGTGAGATCCCCCAAAAATATCCCAAAAATCCAGGTGAGACCCCACAAAATTTAACCACAAAATTTCCCAAAATTCCCCAAATTTAACCCCTTAAATCCCCCAAAATCCGCCAAATTTAATCCCTGAATTCCCCCAAAATCCGCCAAATACCCCCAAAATTTAACCCAAAATCCGCCAAATACCCCCAAAATTTAACCCCTAAATTCCCTTAAAAATTCCTAAAATTCCCAAAACTGAACCCTAAAATGCCCCAAACTCCCCAAAAATTTAACCCCAAAATTAATCCAAAACCCCCAAAATTTCCCCCAAAATTTAACCCTAAAATGCCCCAAAACCCCCAAAATTTCCCCCAAAATTTAACCCTAAAATGCCCCAAAACCCCCAAATTTTCCCCAAAATTTAACCCTAAAATGCCCCAAAACCCCCAAATTTCCCCCAAAATTTAACCTTAAAATGCCCCAAAACCCCCAAAATTTCCCCCAAAATTTAACCCTAAAATGCCCCAAAACCCCCAAATTTCACCCCAAATTTAACCCTAAAATACCCCAAAACCCCCAAATTTCCCCCAAATTTAACCCTAAAATGCCCCAAAATCCCCCAAATTTCCCCCCAAATTTAACCCTAAAATGCCCCAAAACCCCCAAAATTTCCCCCAAAATTTAACCCTAAAATGCCCCAAAACCCCCGAAATTTCCCCTTAAAATTTAACCCTAAAATGCCCCAAAACCCCCAAAATTTCCCCCAAAATTTAACCCTAAAATGCCCCAAAACCCCCAAATTTCCCCCCAAATTTAACCCTAAAATTAATCCAAAATCCCCAAATTTCCCCCAAAATTTAACCCTAAAATGCCCCAAAACCCCCAAATTTCCCCCAAAATTTAACCCCAAAATTAATCCAAAATCCCCCAAATTTCCCCCCAAAATTTAACCCTAAAATGCCACAAAACCCCCAAAATTTTCCCCAAAATTTAACCCTAAAATGCCCCAAAACCCCCAAATTTCCCCCAAAATTTAACCCTAAAATGCCCCAAAACCCCCAAATTTCCTCCCAAATTTAACCTTAAAATGCCCCAAAACCCCCAAATTTCCCCCCAAATTTAACCCTAAAATGCCCCAAAACCCCCAAATTTCCCCCCAAAATTTAACCCTAAAATGCCCCAAAACCCCCGAAATTTCCCCCAAAATTTAACCCTAAAATGCCCCAAAACCCCCAAAATTTCCCCCCAAATTTAACCCTAAAATGCCCCAAAATCCCCAAATTTCACCCCAAATTTAACCCCAAAATTAATCCAAAACCCCCCAAATTTCCCCCAAAATTTAACCCCAAAATTAATCCAAAACCCCCCAAATTTCACCCCAAATTTAACCCCAAAATTAATCCAAATTCCCCCAAAATTTCCCCCCAAATTTAACCCTAAAATGCCCCAAAATTAATCCAAAACCCCCAAAATTTAACCCCAAAATTAATCCAAAACACCCCAAATTTCCCCCCAAATTTAACCCTAAAATGCCCCGAAACCCCAAAATTTCCCCCAAAATTTAACCCTAAAATGCTCCAAAACCCCCAAATTTAACCCGAAATTTAACCCTAAAATGCCCCAAAACCCCCAAATTTCACCCCAAATTTAACCCGAAAATTAATCCAAGACCCCCCAAATTCCCCCAAAATTTAACCCTAAAATACCCCAAATTCCCCCAAAATTTAACCCCAAAATTTAACCCTAAAATGCCCCAAACCCCCCAAAAATTTAACCCTAAAATGCCCCAAAACCCCCAAATTTGCCCCCAAATTTAACCCTAAAATGCCCCAAAATCCCCAAATTTCCCCCCAAATTTAACCCCAAATTTAACCCTAAAATACCCCAAATTCCCCCAAAATTTAACCCCAAAATTTAACCCTAAAATGCCCCAAAATCCCCAAATTTCCCCCAAAATTTAACCCTAAAATGCCCCAAAACCCCCAAATTTCCCCCCAAATTTAACCCCAAAATTAATCCAAATTCCCCCAAAATTTCCCCCAAAATTTAACCCTAAAATGCTCCAAAACCCCCAAATTTCCCCCAAAATTTAACCCTAAAATGCCCCAAAATTTCCCCCAAAATTTAACCCTAAAATGCCCCAAAATCCCCGAAATTTCCCCCAAAATTTAACCCTAAAATGCCCCAAAATCCCCAAAATTTGCCCCAAAATTTAACCCTTTCCTTCCCTTCCAGGACCAGGTGCCTCTGCCCGACCTCGGGGACCCCGCAGGAATTTTGGGGGGGGGGTCCCCAAAAACCCAAATTTTTGGGGGGGCTCCCCTCCCCCACCCCCCCAAAAAAACCCCAAATTTTGGGTCCAAATCTGCGGCTTTTGGGCAAAAAACACAAAAAAAACCCCAAAACCCCTTCGGGGTCTGGGGGGGTCCCCAAATTATTTTGGGGGGGGTCCCCCCAATTTTTCACGCGGTTTTTGGGGGGGGTCGCCCAAAATTTGGGGACCCTCCCCCATTTTTTAAAATTTGCCTTTTTTTGCCTTTTTTTTTCCTTTTTTGCCTTTTTTTTTCCTTTTTTTTTTCCTTTTTTTCCCTTTTTTTTCCTTTTTTTTTCTTTTTTTTTTCTTTTTTTTTTCCTTTTTTTTTCCTTTTTTTTTCCTTTTTTTTTCCTTTTTTTTTCCTTTTTTTTTCCTTTTTTTCCCTTTTTTTTCCATTTTTTTTCCTTTTTTTTTCCTTTTTTTTCCTTTTTTTTTCTTTTTTTTTTTTTCCTTTTTTTTGCCTTTTTTTTGCCTTTTTTTTTTCCTTTTTTTGCCATTTTTGGCTCTTTTTTTTTGGGGATCCCCCCAATTTTTTTGGGGGGGGGTTGGGGGTCGCCCCTCCCCCAATTTTTCCTCCGTCCCCCTCCCCCCCCCAAATTGGGGGGGTCATTTTTCCCATTTTTTTCCCATTTTTTCCCCATTTTTTCCCATTTTTAACCATTTTTCCCATTTTTTCCACTTTTTATTTATTTGCACTTAATTTGGGGAGGGGGGGGAGGGAATTTTGGGGAGGGGGGTGGAAAAAATGGGGAAACCCCCCAAAAAATAACAAAAAATCCCGGAAAAATCTCGGGAATTTTGGGGTTTTCCCCAAACCGAAGGTGTGAAAAATGTGAAATAAAAAAATTTACGTTTTCAGCTTTTTTGGGGAATTTTTGGGGGGATTTTTGGGGGGATTTTGGGGAGGGTTTTTTGGGGTCTCCCCTCTGACGCGAATTTTGGGGTGAATTTTGGGGGATTTGGGGTGAATTTTGGGATTTTTAGGGCAAAATTTTGGGATTTTTAGGGCAAAATTTTGGGGTTTTTGGGGTGGAGTTTTGGGGGAATTTGGGATTTTGGGGGGAAATTTGGGATTTTGAGGGAAATTTTGGGGTTTTGGATGAATTTTGGGTTTTTTTGGGGGAAATTTTGGGTTTTTTTGGGGGGAAATTTTGGGGTTTTGAGGGAAATTTTTGGGGTCCTGGGGGAAATTTGGGGGGAAAATTTGGGTTTTTTTGGGGCCAATTTTGGGGCTTTGGGGGAAATTTGGGGTTTTGGGAAGATTTGGGGTTTTTTTGGGGGGAAATTCTGGAGTTCTTGGGTGCAAATTTTGGGGTTTTGGGTAAATTTTGGGGGAAATGAGGAGTTTGGGTTGAATTTTGGGTGAATTTTGGAGGATTTTGGGTGAATTTTGGTTTTTTTTGGAGTGGAGTTTTGAGGGAATTTGGGGTTTTTTGGGGAATTTTGGAATTCGGGGGAAAATTTTGAAAACTTGGAGGGGTTTGAGGGAAATTTTGGGGTTTTTTTGAGGAAATTTTGGGGGAATTTGGGGTTTTGGGAGGAAATTTGGGATTTTGGGGGAAATTTTGGGGTTTTTTGGATGAATTTTGGGATTTTTTTGAGGAAATTTTGGGGGAATTTGGGATTTTTTTGAGGAAATTTTGGGATTTTGGGGGAAATTTTGGGGTTTTGGATGAATTTTGGGTTTTTGGGGGAAATTTTGGGGTTTTTTGGGGGGAAATTTTGGGGTTTTGAGGGAAATTTTTGGGCTCCTGGGGGAAATTTTGGGGAAAATTTGGGGTTTTTTGTGGCCAATTTTGGGGCTTTGGGGGAAATTTTGGGGTTTTGGGAATATTTGGGGTTTTTGGGGGAATTTGGATTTTTTGGGGTGAATTTTGGGGGTTTTGGGTAAATTTTTTGGGGAAATGAGGAGTTTGGGTTGAATTTTGGGTGAATTTTGGGGGATTTTGGGGGAATTTTGGGTTTTTTTGGAGTGGAGTTTTGAGGGAATTTGGGGTTTTTTGGGAATTTTGGAATTTGGGGGAAAATTTGGGGAACTTGGAGGGGTTTGAGGGGAATTTTGGGGTTTTTTGGAGGAAATTTTGGGGGATTTGGGGTTTTGGGGGGAAATTTGGGATTTTGGGGGAAATTTGGGGTTTTGGATGAATTTTGGGATTTTGGGGGAAATTTTGGGTTTTTTTGGGGGGGGTTTTGGGGTTTTGAGGGAAATTTTTGGGATCCTGGGGGAAATTTTGGGGGAAAATTTGGGGTTTTTTTGTGGCCAATTTTGAGGCTTTGGGGGAAATTTGGGGTTTTTGGGAATATTTGGGGGTTTTTGGGGGGAAATTCTGGAGTTCTTGGGGGCAAATTTTGGGGTTTTGGGTAAATTTTGGGGTGAATTTTGGGGGTTTGGGTTGAATTTTGGGTGAATTTTGGGGGATTTTGGGTGAATTTTGGGTTTTTTGGAGTGAAGTTTTGAGGGAATTTGGGTTTTTTTGGGGAATTTTGGAATTTGGGGGAAAATTTGGGGAACTTGGAGGGGTATTTTGGGGTTTTTTGGGGGAAATTTTGGTTTTTTTGGAGGAAATTTTGGGGGGATTTGGGGTTTTGGGGGGAAATTTTGGATTTTGGGGGAAATTTTGGGTTTTTTGGACGGATTTTGGGTTTTTTTGGAGGAAATTTTGGGGGATTTTGGATTTTTTTGAGGAAATTTTGGGATTTTGGGGGAAATTTGGGGTTTTGGATGAATTTTGGGTTTTTTTGGGGAAATTTTGGGGTTTTTTGGGGGGAATTTTTGGGGTTTTGAGGGAAATTTTTGGGGTCCTGGGGGAAATTTTGGGGGAAAATTTGGGTTTTTTTGTGGCCAATTTTGGGGCTTTGGGGAAAATTTTGGGTTTTTGGGAAGATTTGGGGTTTTTGGGGGGAAATTCTGGAGTTCTTGGGGTGAATTTTGGGGGTTTTGGGTAAATTATGGGGGGAAATGAGGAGTTTGGGTTGAATTTTGGGTGAATTTTGGGGGATTTTGGGTGAATTTTGGGGTTTTTGGGTGGAGTTTTGAGGGAATTTGGGTTTTTTTGGGGAATTTTGGAATTTGGGGGAAAATTTGGGGAACTTGGAGGTTTTGGGGGGAATTTTGGGGTTTTTTTGAGGAAATTTTGGGGGAATTTGGGGTTTTTTGAGGAAATTTTGGGATTTTGGGGGAAATTTGGGGTTTTGGATGAATTTTGGGTTTTTGGGGGGAAATTTTGGGGTTTTTTGGGGGGAAATTTTGGGGTTTTGAGGGAAATTTTTGGGGTCCTGGGGGAAATTTTGGGGGAAAATTTGGGTTTTTTTGGGGCCAATTTTGGGGCTTTGGGGGAAATTTTGGGGTTTTGGGAATATTTGGGGTTTTTTTGGGGGGAAATTCTGGAGTTCTTGGGGGCAAATTTTGGGGTTTTGGTAAAATTTGGGGGGAAATGAGGGGTTTGGGTTGAATTTTGGGTGAATTTTGGGGGATTTTGGGTGAATTTTGGGTTTTTTGGAGTGGAGTTTTGAGGGAATTTGGGGTTTTTTTGGGGAATTTTGGAATTTGGGGGAAAATTTGGGGAACTTGGAGGTTTTGGGGGGAATTTTGGGGTTTTTTTGAGGAAATTTTGGGGGAATTTGGGATTTTTTTGAGGAAATTTTGGGGGAATTTGGGGTTTTTTGGAGGAAATTTTGGGGGAATTTTGGGTTTTTTGGAGGAAATTTTGGGGGAATTTGGGGTTTTGGGGGGAAATTTGGGATTTTGGAGGAAATTTTGGGTTTTGAATGAATTTTGGGGTTTTGGGGGGAAATTTTGGGGTTTTTTGAGGGGAATTTTGGGGTTTTGAGGGAAATTTTTGGGGTCCTGGGGGAAATTTTGGGGGGAAATTCGGGGTTTTGGGGCCAATTTTGGGGCTTTGGGGGAAATTTTGGGGGAATTTGGGATTTTTTTGAGGAAATTTTGGGGGAATTTGGGATTTTGGGGGGAAATTTGGGATTTTGGGGGAATTTTGGGTTTTTGGATGAATTTTGGGTTTTTGGGGGAAATTTTGGGGTTTTTTTGGGAGGATTTGGAGATTTTTTGAGGGAAATTTTTGGGGTCCTGGGGGAAATTTTGGGGGAAAATTTGGGGTTTTTTTGGGGCCAATTTTGGGGCTTTGGGGGAAATTTTGGGTTTTTGGGAAGATTTGGGGTTTTTGGGGGGAAATTCTGAAGTTCTTGGGGACAAATTTTGGGGTTTTGGGTAAATTTTGGGGGGAAATGAGGGGTTGGGTTGAATTTTGGGTGAATTTTGGGGGATTTTGGGTGAATTTTGGGTTTTTTGGAGTGGAGTTTTGAGGGAATTTGGGTTTTTTTGGGGAATTTTGGGAATTTGGGGGAAAAATTGGGGAACTTGGAGGGGTTTGGGGGGAATTTTGGGGTTTTTTTGAGGAAATTTTGGGGGAATTTGGGGTTTTGGGGGAAATCTGGGATTTTGGGGGAAATTTTGGGGTTTTTTGGAGTGGAGTTTTGGGTTTTTTTTGAGGAAATTTTGGGGGAATTTGGGATTTTTTTGAGGAAATTTTGGGATTTTGGGGAAAATTTGGGGTTTTGGATGAATTTTGGGTTTTTGGGGGGAAATTTTGGGGTTTTTTGGGGGGGAAATTTTGGGGTTTTGCGGGAAATTTTTGGGGTCCTGGGGGAAATTTGGGGGGAAAATTTGGGGTTTTTTTGTGGCCAATTTTGGGGCTTTGGGGGAAATTTGGGGTTTTTGGGAATATTTGGGTTTTTTTGGGGGGAAATTCTGGAGTTCTTGGGTGCAAATTTTGGGGTTTTGGGTAAATTTTGGGGGGAAATGAGGAGTTTGGGTTGAATTTTGGGTGAATTTTGGAGGATTTTGGGTGAATTTTGGGTTTTTTGGAGTGGAGTTTTGAGGGAATTTGGGTTTTTTTTTGGAATTTTGGAATTTGGGGGAAAATTTGGGGAACTTGGAGGGGTTTGGGGGGAATTTTGGGTTTTTTTGAAGAAATTTTGGGGGAATTTGGGATTTTTTTGAGGAAATTTTGGGGGAATTTGGGATTTTGGGGAGAAATTTGGGATTTTGGGGGAAATTTGGGGTTTTGGATGAATTTTGGGTTTTTGGGGGGAAATTTTGGGGTTTTTTGGGGGGAAATTTTGGGGTTTTTTGGGGGGGATTTGGAGATTTTTTGAGGGAAATTTTTGGGGTCCTGGGGGAAATTTTGGGGGAAAATTTGGGGTTTTTTGGGGTCAATTTTGGGGCTTTGGGGGAAATTTGGGATTTTGGGAAGATTTGGGGTTTTTGGGGGAATTTGGATTTTTGGGGTGAATTTTGGGGGTTTTGGGTGAATTTTGGGGGTTTTGGGTAAATTTTGGGGGGAAATGAGGGGTTTGGGTTGAATTTTGGGTGAATTTTGGAGGATTTTGGGTGAATTTTGGGGTTTTTTGGAGTGGAGTTTTGAGGGAATTTGGGGTTTTTTTGGGAATTTTGGAATTTGGGGGAAAATTTGGGGAACTTGGAGGGGTTTGGGGGGAATTTTGGGGTTTTGGGGGGAATTTTGGGGTTTTTTGAGGAAATTTTGGGGGAATTTGGGGTTTTGGGGGAAAATTTGGGATTTTGGGGGAAATTTGGGGTTTTGGATGAATTTTGGGTTTTTGGGGGGAAATTTTGGAGTTTTTTGGGGGGAAATTTTGGGGTTTTGAGGGAAATTTTTGGGATCCTGGGGGAAATTTTGGGGGAAATTCGGGATTTTTGTGGCCAATTTTGGGGCTTTGGGGGAAATTTTGGGTTTTTGGGAAGATTTGGGTTTTTTAGGGGAAAATTCTGGAGTTCTTGGGGGCAAATTTTGGGGTTTTGGGTAAATTTTTGGGGGAAATGAGGGGTTTGGGTTGAATTTTGGGTGAATTTTGGAGGATTTTGGGGGAATTTTGGGGGTTTTTGGAGTGGAGTTTTGAGGGAATTTGGGTTTTTTGGGGAATTTTGGAATTTGGGGGGAAATTTGGAGAACTTGGAGGTTTTGGGGGGAATTTTGGGTTTTTTTGGAGGAAATTTTGGGGGAATTTGGGATTTTTTTGAGGAAATTTTGGGGGAATTTGGGGTTTTTTGGCCGCTGATTTTTACAGAGGGGAGAACAAAACGAGGGAAAAGCGCTGAAAGCCGCGCGCTCTGCCCCAGCCCCGCCTTTTCTATCCCATTCCGGGAAAAATTTTGGGGAAAATTTTGGAAAAATTTGGGAAAAATTTGGAAAAATTTGGGAATTTTTGGGTCCTCCCGGAACCAACATCTCCCGGAACCTTCGGGCGAAGCCGCTGCTTCCCTTACCGGAAGTGACGTCAAATCGCGCCGCACGCGCTCCGCGAAGCGCCGCCGGTGTCGCACTGAAACGGGTCCGGACGGAACCACGGGGAAGTTTTGGGGCTCTTTGACTGAATTTTGGGGTCCCCGCGCGGATTTTGGGGGTCCCTGAGGGGATTTTGGGGTCCCTGAGTGGATTTTGGGGGTCCCCGCGCGGATTTTGGGGGTCCTGGAGGGGTTTTGGGGCGGTTTTGGGGCTCCCTGAGGGGGATTGGGGTGCGGGCCCCGCCCGGGCCTTGAGGGCCCTGAGGGAATTTTGGGGTCCCGGAGAAAATTTTGGGGTCCCTGAGGGGATTTTGGGGTCCCTGAGGGGATTTTTGGGGTCCCTGAGTGGATTTTGGGGTCCCTGAGGGAAATTTTGGGGTCCCTGAGGGAATTTTGGGGTCCCTGAGGAAATTTTGGGGTCCCTGAGGGGATTTTGGGGTCCCTGAGGGAATTTTGGGGTCCCTGAGGGAATTTTGGGGTCCCTGAAGAGATTTTGGGGTCCCTGAGGGAATTTTGGGGGTCCCGGGAAAAATTTGGGGTCTCTGAGGGGATTTTGGGGCTCTTTGACTGAATTTTGGGGTTCCTGAAGGAAATTTTGGGGTCCCTGAGGAAATTTTGGGGTTCCTTGACTGAATTTTGGGGTCCCTGAGAGGAATTTTGGGGCTCTTTGACTGAATTTTGGGGTCCCTGAGGAAATTTTGGGGTCCCTGAGGAAATTTTGGGGTCCCTGAGGAAATTTTGGGGCTCTTTGACTGAATTTTGGGGTCCCTGAGGGAATTTTGGGGACCCTGAGGGAATTTTGGGGCTCTTTGACTGAATTTTGGGGTCCCTGAGGGGATTTTGGGGTCCCTGAGGGGATTTTTGGGGTCCCTGAGGGGATTTTGGGGCTCTTTGACTGAATTTTGGGGTCCCTGAGGGAATTTTGGGCTCTTTGACTGAATTTGGGGTCCCTGAGGTGATTTTGGGGTCCCTGAGGGGATTTTGGGGGTCCCTGAGGGGATTTTGGGGGTCCCTGAGGAAATTTTGGGGCTCTTTGACTGAATTTTGGGGCTCATTGACTGAATTTTGGGGTCCCTGAGGGGATTTTGGGGTCCCTGAGGGGATTTTGGGGCTCTTTGACTGAATTTTGGGGTCCCTGAGGGAATTTTGGGGGTCCCGGGAAAAATTTGGGGTCCCTGAGGGGATTTTGGGGTCCCTGATGGAATTTTGGGGTCCCTGAGGAAATTTTGGGGTCTCTGAGGGGATTTTGGGGTCCCTGAGGAAATTTTGGGGTCCCTGAGGAAATTTTGGGGCTCTTTGACTGAATTTTGGGGTCCCTGAGGGGATTTTGGGGTCCCTGAGGGAATTTTGGGGTCCCTGAGGGAATTTTGGGGTCTCTGAGGGGATTTTGGGGTCCCTGAGGGAATTTTGGGGTCTCTGAGGAAATTTTGGGGTCCCTGAGGAAATTTTGGGGATCCTTGACTGAATTTTGGGGCTCTTTGACTGAATTTTGGGGTCCCTGAGGGAATTTTGGGGTCCCTGAGGAAATTTTGGGGTCCCTGAGGGAATTTTGGGGTCTCTGAGGGAATTTTGGGGTCCCGGGGAAAATTTTGGGGTCCCTGAGGGGAATTTTGGGGTCCCTGAGGAAATTTTGGGGTCCCTGAGGGGATTTTTGGGGTCCCGGAGGAAATTTTGGGGTCCCTGAAGGAAATTTTGGGGTCCCTGAGGAGATTTTGGGGATTTTTTGAAGCCCCGCCCCCATTTTTAAGCCCCTCCCCCATTTTTGAAGCCCCTCCCCATTTCTTTAAGCCCCGCCCCCATTTTTGAAGCCCCTCCCCCATTTTTTAAAGCCCCCCCATTTTCGAAGCCCCGCCCCCATTTTTTGGAGCCCCTCCCCCATTTTTTAAGCCCCTCCCCCATTTTTTGAAGCCCCTCCCCCATTTTTTGGCCCCTCCCCCATTTTTTGGGACCCCCCATGGACCCCCCGGAGCCCCAAATTCCCCGGAAACGGCCCCAAAAAAACCCGCGGCACACCCAGGTCAGGAACCGGCGCTACATGGCCATGAGGGAGCTGATCCGAGGTAAAACTATTGATTAGTTATCGGTTATTGATTAGGTATTGGTAAATATGGATTAGTTATCAATAAGTGATCGATAATCAATGTGGATCAATGCAGCCACAGCCAGGTCAGGAACCGGCGGTACATGGCCATGAGGGAGCTGATCCGAGGTACAAATATTGATTAGTTATTGATTAGATATTGATAATATTAATTAAATATTAATAATTATTGATAAATATTGGTAAATGATCGATAAATGATCGATAATCAATGTGGATCAATCCAGCCACACTCAGGTCAGGAACCGGCGCTACATGGCCATGAGGGAGCTGATCCGAGGTACAGTTATTGATTAGCTATCGGTTATTGATTAGGTATTGATAAATATTGATTAGTTATCAATAAGTGATCGATAATCAATGTGGATCAATCCAGCCACACCCAGGTCAGGAACCGGCGCTACATGGCCATGAGGGAGCTGATCCGAGGTAAAACTATTGATTAGCTATCGGTTATTGATTAGGTATTGATTGGTTATTGGTAAATATGGATTGGTTATCAATAAATGATCGATAATCAATGTGGATCAATCTGAGCCACACCCAGGTCAGGAACCGGCGCTACATGGCCATGAGGGAGCTGATCCGAGGTACAGTTATTGATTAGCTATCGGTTATTGATTAGGTATTGGTAAATGTGGATTAGTTATCAATAAATGATCGATAATCAATGTGGATCAATCTGAGCCACACCCAGGTCAGGAACCGGCGCTACATGGCCATGAGGGAGCTGATCTGAGCTGCAGATATTGATTAGTTATTGGTTATTGATTAGGTATTGATTGGTTATTAGTAAATATATTTGTTATCAATAAATAATCGATAATCGATGTGGATCAATCCAGCCACAGCCAGGTCAGGAACCGGCGCTACATGGCCATGAGGGAGCTGATCCGAGGTAAAACTATTGATTAGTTATTGGTTATTGATTAGGTATTGATTAGGTATTGGTAAATATTGATTAGTTATCAATAAGTGATCGATAATCAATGTGGATCAATCCAGCCACACCCAGGTCAGGAACCGGCGCTACATGGCCATGAGGGAGCTGATCCGAGGTACAGATATTGATTAGCTATCGGTTATTGATTAGGTATTGATAAATATAGATTAGTTATCAATAAGTGATCGATAATCAATGTGGATCAATCTGAGCCACACTCAGGTCAGGAACCGGAGGTACACGGCCATGAGGGAGCTGATCCGAGTACAAATATTGATTAGTTATTGATTAGTTATTGATAATATTAATTAAATATTAATAATTGTTGATAAATATTGGTAAATGATCGATAAATGATCGATAATCAATGTGGATCAATCCAGGCACACCCAGGTCAGGAACCGGCGCTACATGGCCATGAGGGAGCTGATCCGAGGTACAGTTATTGATTAGCTATCGGTTATTGATTAGGTATTGATAAATATGGATTAGTTATCAGTAAGTGATCGATAATCAATGTGGATCAATCCAGCCACACCCAGGTCAGGAACAGGTCAGGAAATTCCCCCCAATTTCACCCAATTTCCCCAATTTTCCCCCAATTTTCCCCCAAATTTCCCCCCAAATTTCCCCATTTTCCGCCAATTTTCCCCCAATTTCCCCATAATTTTCCCCCAATTTTCCCCCAATTTCCCCCAAATTTCCCACCAAATTTCCCCAAATTTCCCCAATTTCCCCCCAATTTCCCCCAATTTCTCCCAAATTTTTCCCCCAATTTTCCCCTAAATTTCCCCAATTTCCCCCAATTTTCCCCCAATTTTCCCCAAATCTCTCCAATTTCCCCCCAATTTTCCCCAATTTTCAAAAATTTCTCCGAATTTCCCCCAAATCTCCCCAATTTTCTACCAAATTCCATAATTTCCCCCCAATTTTCCCCAATTTTCCCCAATTTTCCCCCAATTTCCCCCATTTTCCCCCCAAATTTCCCCAATTCCCCCCAAATTTCCCACCAAATTCTCTCAATTTTCCTCCAAATTCCCCATTTTCCCCCAAATTTCTTAATTCCTCCAAACCCCCCAATTTTCTTCACATTTCCCCCAAATTCCCCCAAATTTCCCCCCAAATTTTCCCCCAAATTCTCCCATCAAATTTCCCCAATTTTCCCCAAAAATTTTCCCCTTTCTCCCCATTTCCTCCCCAGTTTCCCCAAATTTCCCCAATTTCCCACCAATTCCCCCCATTTTTCCCCCAATTTCCCCCAATTTTCCTCCAAATTTCCCCAATTTCCCCCTAATTTTCCCCGAAATTTCCCCCAAATTTCCCCCAATTTCCCCCCAATTTCCCCCCAATTTCCCCCCAATTTCCCCAAATTTCCCCAATTTTCTGACATTTCTCTGAATTTCCCCAAAAATTTTCCACAAAATTTCCCAATTTTCCACCAAATTCCACAATTTCCCCCCAAATTTTCCCAAATTTCCCCTTTCCCCAATTTCCCCCCAAATTTCCCCAATTTCCCCCCAATTTTCCCCCCAAATTTCCCCCAATTTTCCCCAATTTTCCCCAATTTTCCCCCAATTTTCAAAAATTTCTACGAATTTCCCCCAAATCTCCCCAATTTTCCCCAATTCCCCCCCAAATTTCCCACCAAATTCTCTCAAGTTTCCCCCAATTTCCCCCAATTTCCCCCCACATTTCCCCAATTTTCCCCAATTTTCCCCCATATTCCCCCAGTTTTTCCCCAATTTTCCCCCCAAATTTCCCCAATTTCCCCCAAATTTCCCCAATTTCCCCCAAATTTCCCCAATTTTCCCCCCATTTCCCCCAAATTTCCCCAATTTTCCCCCAATTTCCCCCAAATTTCCCCAATTTTCCCCAATTTTCAAAAATTTCTCCGAATTTCCCCCAAATCTCCCCAATTTTCCACAAAATTTCCCCATTTTCCACCAAATTCCAAAATTTCCCCCCAAATTTCCCCTTTCCCCCCATTTCACCCCCATTTCCCCCCAATTTTCTCCCAATTTTCCCCAAAATTCCCCCCAAATTTACCCCAAATTCCTCAATTTTCACCCAAATCTCCTCAATGTCCCCCCGAATTTCCCCCATTATTTTCCCCAATTTCCCCCCAATTTCCCCCAAATTTCCCCAATTTTCCCCCAATTTTCCCCAACTTTCCCCAATTTCCCCCCAAATTTCCCCAATTTTCCCCCAAATTTCCCCCATTTTCCCCCAATTTTCCCCCAAATTTCCCCCCAATTTTCCCCAATTTCCCCCAATTTTCCGCAAAAATTTCCCCAATTTTCCCCCAATTTCCCCCCAATTTCCCCCCAAATTTCCCCACTTTCCCCAATTTTCCCCAAATTTCACCAATTTCCCCAGTTTTCCCCCAAATCCCCCAATTTCCCCCCAATTTCCCCCCAAATTTCTCCAATTTCCCCCAATTTCCCCCAAATTTCCCCCTATTTTCCACCAATTTTCAAAAATTTCTCTGAATTTCCCCCAAATCTCCCCAATTTTCCACCAAATTCCACAATTTCCCCCCAAATTTTCCCAAATTTCCCCTTTCCCCGCCATTTCACCCCCAATTTCCCCAATTTTCCCCCAAATTCCCCCAATTTCCCCAATTTTCCCCAAAATGTCTTAATTTCCCCCCAGTTTTTCCCAATTTTTCTTGCATTTCCCCCGAATTCTCCCAAATTTCCCACCAAATTTCCCCCAATTTTCCCCCAATTTTCCCCCAAAATTTCCCCCTTCCTCCCATTTCCACCCCACTTTCCCCAAATTTCCCCCAAATTTCCCCCAAATTTCCCCAATTTCCCCCCAATTTTCCCCAATTTTACCCCAAATTTCCCCAATTTTCCCCCAATTTCCCCAATTTCCCCCAATTTCCCCCAGTTTTCCCCCAAATTTCCCCAATTTCCCCCCAAATTTCCCCCAAATTTCCCGAATTTCCCCCCAATTTTCTGCAATTTCCCCCCAATTTTCCCTCAAATTTCCCCCAAATTTCCCCCAATTTTCCCAAATTTCCCCCAATTTCCCCCCAAATCTCCCTAATTCCCCCAAATTTCCCACCAAATTCCCCAATTTTCACCCAAATCTCCTCAATGTCCCCCCAAATTTCCCCAATTTTCCCCAAATTTCCCACCAAATTTTCCCCAATTTCCCCCAATTTCCCCCCAATTTTTCCCCCAATTTCCCCAATTTTCCGCCAAATTTCCCCAATTTTCCCACAAATTTCCCCCAATTTCCCCCCAATTTTCCAAAATTTTCCCCCAATTTTCCCCCAATTTCCCCCAAATTTCCCCCAAATTTTCCCAAATTTCTCCCCAATTTTCCCCCAATTTCCCCCAAATTTCCCCAATTTTTTCCCAATTTTCAAAAATTCCCCCAATTTTCCCCCAAATTTCCCCAATTTCCCCAAATTTTCCAAAAAATTTCCCCAATTTCCCCCAAATTCCACAATTTCCCCCCAAATTTTCCCAAATTTCCCCTTTCCCCGCCATTTCCCCCCAAATTTCCCCAATTTTCCCCAATTTTCCCCCAATTTTCCCCCAATTTTCCCCCAATTTTCCCCAAATTTCCCCAATTTTCCCCCAATTTTCAAAAATTTCTCCGAATTTCCCCCAAATCTCCCCAATTTTCCACCAAATTCCACAATTTCCCCCCCAAATTTTCCCAAATTTCCCCTTTCTCCTCATTTCACCCCAATTTCCCCAATTTTCCCCCAACTTTCCCCAATTTTTCCCCAAATTTCTCCCCAAATTTCCCCCAATTTCCCCAAATTCCCCCAATTTCCCCCAAAATTTCCCCAATTTTCCCCCAAAATTTTCCCCTTCCCCCCCATTTCCTCCCCACTTTTCCCAATTTCTTCCAATTTTCCCCCAAATGTCCCCAAATTTTCCCAAATTTCCCCTAATTTTTCCCAAATTTTCCCCCCAAACTCCCCAATTTTCCCAAAATCCCCCTTTTTTCCCCCATTTCAGAGGGCGATTACTTCAGCGAGGAGCGGATGCGGCTCCGCGCCCCGGGGCTGTTCCAGCGCTACATCGGCCGTTTCCGGGACGGAATTCCCAAAAATCCGCCGGGAATTCCCAAAATTTCCCCCGGAATTCCCAAAAATCCCCCCGGAATTCCCAAAAATCCCCCCGGAATTCCCAAATCCGGGCCGGAAATGCCCCGAAATGCCCCGAAATTGCCCCAAAACGCGGGGCCCGCGCGGGAGCTGCGGGAGCTGCTGCTGAGCGCGCTGGAGGAGAGCGCGGGTCGGGTTTTGGGGCAGTTTGGGGAATTTTGGGGATTTTGGGGGGAGTTTGGGGTGGTTTGGGATGATTTTGTGGGGATTTTGGGAGGTTTGGGGGGATTTTGGGATGATTTTGGGGGGATATTGGGATGATTTTTGGGGGGATTTGGGGGATTTTGGGAGGTTTGAGGGGATTTTGGAGAGATTTTGGGATGATTTTGGGGGATTTTGGGGGGTTTAAGGGGATTTTGGGATGATTTTGGGGGAATTCGGGAGTTTTGGGTGGATTTTGGGGGGTTTTAGGGGGTTTTGGGGGAATATTGGGGAGGATTTTGGAAGGTTTGAGGGGATTTTGGGGGATTTTGGGAGGTTTGAGGGGATTTTGAGGGATTTTGGGATGATTTTGGGGGGATTTTGGGGGTTTAAGGGGATTTTGGGGGGATATTGGGGAGATTTTGGGGGATTTTGGGGGGTTTAAGGGGATTTTGGGAGAATATTGGGGGGATTTTTGGAGGTTTGAGGGGATTTTGGGGATTTTGGGGGATTTTGGGGGGTTTTGGGAGAATTTGGGGGGATTTTGGGGAGATTTTGGGATGATTCTGGAGGTTTAAGAGGATTTTTGGGGGGTTTAGGATGATTTTGGGGGAATTTTGGGGGGTTCTTGGGGATTTTGGGGGGATATTGGGGGGATTTTGGGAGGTTTGAGGGGATTTTGGGGGGATTTTGGGAGGTTTGGGGGGATTTTGGGGGGATTTTGGGGGTTTAAGGGGATTTTGGGATGATTTTGGGGGGATTTTGGGAGGTTTGGGGGGATTTTGGGGGGATTTTTGGGGTTTAAGGGGATTTTGGGGGGGTTTTAGGGGATTTTGGGGGGATTTGGGATGATTTTTGGGATGATTTTGGGGGGATTTTGGGGAAATTTGGGAGGTTTGAGGGGATTTTGGGGAGATTTTGTGATAATTTTGGAGGTTTAAGAGGATTTTTGGGGGGGTTTAGGATGATTTAGGGAGGTTTAAGGGGATTTTGGGGGAAATTGGGGGGATTTTGGGAGGTTTGAGGGGATTTTGGGATGATTTTGGGGGGATTTTGGGCGGTTTAAGGGGATTTTGGGGGTATTTTGGGAGGTTTGAGGGGATTTTGGAGAGATTTTGGGGGGATATTGGAGCGTTTTAGGGGATTTTGGGGGGATTTGGGATGATTTTGGGAGAATTTGAGGGTTTTGGGGGGATTTTGGGGAGATTTTGGGATGATTTTGGAGGTTTAAGAGGATTTTTGGGGAGGTTTAGGATGATTTTGGGGAGATTTTGGGATGATTTTGGGGAAATTTGGGAGTTTTGGGGGGATTTGGGGGGATTTTGGGATGATTTCGGAGGTTTAAGAGGATTTTTGGGGGGGTTAGGATGATTTCGGGGGATATTGGGGCGTTTGAGGGGATTTGGGGGGGTTTACGGGGATTTTGGGGGGATTTGGGGGTTTTGGGGGGATTTGGGATGATTTCGGAGGTTTAAGAGCATTTTTGGGGGGTTTAGGATGATTTGGGGAGATTTTGGGGGGTTTAAGGGGATTTTGGGATGATTTTGGGGGGATTTTGGGGGGATTTTGGGGAGATTTTGGGATGATTTCGGAGGATTAAGAGGATTTTTGGGGGGGTTGGGATAATTTTGGGAGATTTTGGGGGTTTGGGATGATTTTGGGGGGATTTTGGGGGGTTTGGGATGATTTTGGGGGGATTTTTGGAGGATTTAGGGATGATTTCGGGGGGATATTGGGGGATTTTTAAGGGTATTTTGGGTCACTTCAGGGTATTTTGGGAAAATTTTAGGTAATTTTGGGGATTTTAGGTGATTTTGAGATCATTTGGCATCATTTTAGACAGATTTGAGGGATTTTGGGGGAGTTTAAAGCATTTTGTAACATTTTTGGGGGATTTTTTATTGAGATTTTTTTCTGTTTCGTTGCGTTTTTTGTCATTTCTTTGCGATTTCCGGGGGCTTTTTTGGGATTTTTTTGTGGATTTTGGTGATTTTTGCTCCCGCAGCGGCCGAGGAGGAGGAGGAGGAGGAGGATGAAGATGAAGATGAGGATGAAGATGAGGATGAGGAGCGCGTTCCCGACGCGGCCGAGCGGGAATTGCTGCGCCTGGAATTCACCTCCCGCATGTACCAGCGCTTCCTGCAGGGGCTGGACAGCGACTTCGACTACAGGTGCCCCAAAATCCCCCAAATTCACCCCAAAACGGCCTCGAAACGGTGAAAATTAAAAAAAAAATGAAAAAAATCCAACAAAAAATGAGCAAAGTAGCCCAAAAATCCACAAAAAAACCCATAAAACCACAGGAAAAAACACAAAAAAGTCCCTCATAAAAAACCCAAAATGCCTGAAATAACCCAAAAATCCCAAAATTCACAAATAAACCCCAAATATTCAAAATGTTTAAAAATTCCAGAGAAATCCGTCAAAAAATGAGCAAAATACCCCAAAAATCTACAAAAAATCCTCCCTTATGTGCCAGCGCTTCCTGCAGGGGCTGGACAGCGACTTCGACTACAGGTGCCCCAAAATCCCCCAAATTCACCCCAAAACGGCCTCGAAACGGCGAAAATTTAAAAAAAACCGAAAAAATCCGACAAAAAATGAGCAAAATAGCCCAAAAATCGACAAAAAATCCCATAAAACAAAAGAAAAAAAACCAAAAAGTCCTTCATAAAAAACCCAAAATGCCTGAAACAACCCAAAAAACCCCAAAACTCACAAATAAACCCCAAAATATTCAAAATAATTAAAAATCCCAAAGAAATCCATCAAAAAATGAGCAAAATACCCCAAAATACCCCAAAAATCCTCCCACATGTACCAGCGATTCCTGCAGGGGCTGGACAGCGACTTCGACTACAGGTGCCCCAAAATCCCCCAAATTCACCCCAAAACGGCCTCTAAACGGTGAAAATTAAAAAAAACCCGAAAAAATCCGACAGAAAATTAGCAAAATAGCCCAAAAATCCACAAAAAAATCCCCAAAACCTTCCCAAATACCGCGCTAAAAACCCCAAATATTGCTGAAAAATTCCCAAAAAAATCCCAAAAAAATTTCCAAAAAATTCCCAAGAATTTCCCAAAAAATTCCCAAAAATTTCTCAAAAAAATCCCAAAAAAATCCCCCCAAAATCCCCCAAACCATCCCAAATACAGCGCTAAAAATCCCAAATATTGCTGAAAAATTCCCCAAAAATTCCCCAGAAATTCCCCAAAAATTCCCAAAAAATTCCCCAAAAATTCCCAAAAATTTCCCAAAAATTTCTCAAAAAATTCCCCAAAAATTCCCAAAAAATTCTCAAAAAATTCCCAAAAAAATCCCAGAAAAGCCCCAAAAAATCCCCCCAAAATCCCCCAAAATCCCCAAATATCGCCCTAAAAACACCAAATATTGCTGAAAAATTCCCAAAAAATTCCCAAAAATTTCTCAAAAAATTCCCCAAAAAATCCCCCCAAAAATCCCCCAAAATCCCCAAAACCTTCCCAAATACTGTGCTAAAAATCCCAAATATTGCTGAAAAATTCCCAAAAAATTCCCAAAAAATTCCCCAAATAATTCCCAAAAAATTCCCAAAAAATTTTCAAAAAATTCCCAAACAATTCCCAAAAATTCCCAAAATTCCCAAAAATTCCCCAAAATTCCCGGAATTCCCGAAAAAATTCCAAAAAAATTCCCAAAAAATTCCCCAAAAATTCAAAAAAAATTCAAAAAAAATTCCCGGAATTCCCAAAAAAATCCCCAAAAAATTCCCAAAAAAATCCCCCAAAATCCCCAAAACCTTCCCAAATATCGCGCTAAAAACCCCAAAAATTCCCAAAAAATTCCCAAAAAATTCCCAAACAATTCCCAAAAATTTCCCAAAAATTTCCCAAAAAATTCCCAAAAATTTCTCAAAAAAATCCCAAAAAAATCCCCCCAAAAATCCCCAAAAATCCCCAAAACCTTCCCAAATACCGCTCTAACAACCCCAAATATTGCCAAAAAATTCCCAAAAAATTACCAAAAAATTTCTCAAAAAATTCCCAAAAAAATCCCGGAAAAGCCCCCAAAAGTCCCGTAAAATCCCCAAAACCTTCCCAAATACCGCTCTAAAAATGCCAAATATTGCCGAAAAATTCCCAAAAAATTCCCAAAAATTTCTCAAAAAATTCCCCAAAAAATCCCAGAAATCCCCCCAAAAATCCCCAAATACCGCCCTAAAAACCCCAAATATTGCCGAAAAATTCCCAAAAAATTCCCAAAAATTCCCGGAATTCCCAAAAATTCCCGTAATTCCCTCTTTCCCAGCGCGGTGGACGAGGACCCGGGCCGGGACCCGCTGGAGCTGCTGGCCCAGGACATGGAGGATCGATACTTCGACGAGGAGGAGCCGGGCCCGGCCCCGCCGCTGCTCTAGGGGCGCGCCCCAAATCCCCAAAAAACGGCCCAAAACCTCCCCAAAATAGCCACAGAATGTCCCCAAAATATCTGCAGAATATCCCCAAAATATCCCCAAAAATTCCCAAAATATCCGCAAAAATTCCCAAAATATTCCCCAAAATATTCCCAGAATATCCACAAAATGTCCCCAAAAATTCCCAAAATATACACAAAATATACACAAAAATTCCCAAAATATCCCCAGAATATTCCCAAAATATCTGCAGAATATCCCCAGAATATCCCCAGAATGTCCTCAGAATGTCCCCAGAATATCCCCAAAATGTCCCCAGAAGATCCCCAAAAATTCCCAAAATATCTGCAAAATATCTGCAAAATATCCCCAAAATGTCCCCAGAATGTCCCCAGAATATCCCCAAAATATCCCCAAAATATCCCCAGAATGCCCCCAAAATATCCCAAAAATATCGACAAAAATTACCCAAATATTCCCCAAAATATCTGCAGAATATCCACAAAAATTCCCAAAATATTCCCCCAAATAGCCCCAGAATGTCCCCAAAATGTCCCCAAAATGTCCCCAAAATATTCCCAAAATATCTCCAGAATATCCCCAAAATATCCCCAGAATATCCCCTAAATATCTGCAGAATATCCCCAAAACTTCTCAAAATATCCCCAAATATCCCCAGAACATTCCCAAAATATCTGCAGAATATCCCCCAAAATTCCCAAAATATCCCAAAAATATCCACAAAAATTCCCAAAATATCTGCAAAATTTCCCAAAATATCCCCAGAATATCCCCAGAATATCCCCAAAAATTCCCAAAATATTCCCCAAAATATCCCCAAAATATCTGCAGAATATCACCAAAAATTCCCAAAATATCCCCAAAATATCCCCAAAATATTCCCCAAAATATCCCCAGAATATCCACAATATATCCCCAGAATATCCCCAAAAATTCCCAAAATATCCCCAAAATATCCGCAAAAATCCCCAAAATATCTCCAAAATATCTGCAGAATATCCCAAAAAATTCCCAAAGTATCTGCAGAATATCCCCCAAAATTCCCAAAATATCCCCAGAATATCCCCAAAAATTCCCAAAATATCCCCAAAATGTCCCCAAAATATCCCCAAAAATTCCCAAAATATCTCCAGAATATCCCCAAAATGTCCCCAAAATATCCCCAGAATATCCCCAAAATATCCACAGAATATCCCCAAAATGTCCCCAGAATATCTGCAGAATATCCCCAAAATATCCCCAAAAATTCCCAAAATATCCCCAGAATATCCCCAAAATGTCCCCAAAATATCCCCAGAATGTCCCCAAAATATCCCCAAAATATCCACAAAAATTCCCCAAATATTCCCCAGAATATCCCCAGAACATTCCCAAAATGTCCCCAGAACATCCCCAAAATAGCCCCAGAATGTCCCCAAAATGTCCCCAAAATATCCCAAAAAATTCTCAAAATATCTCCAGAATATCCCAAAAAATTCCCAAAATATCCCCAAAATATCTGCAGAATATCCCCAAAAATTCCCAAAATATCCACAAAATATTCCCCAAAATATCCCCACAATATTCCCAAAACATTCCCAAAATATCCCCAAAAAATTCCACAAAAATTCCAAAAACATCCCCAGAACATTCCCCAAAATATCACAAAAAAAATTCTACAAAAATGGGAATTTTCTGCTTTTTTGGGGGGAAAAAATGGGAATTTTCTGTGTCTTTTTGGGGGGATTTTGGGGTGGTTTTGGGGCAGTTTTGGGGTGGTTTTTTGGGAATTTTTGGGGTGGATTTTTGGGTGTTTTTGGCATTTTTTGGGGTATTTTAGGAGGATTTGGGGTTTATTTTTTGGGGGATTTTTTAGGGGGGGATTTTGAGTTTTTCCTCGATGATTTTTGGCATTTTTGGGGTAAAAAACAGCAAAAAAAATAGAAATTAAATAACATTTATTGGTCCAATGCTGCAGAACAGAGCCGGGAATTTTGGGGGGAATTTGGGGATTTTTGGGGTGAATTTGGGGATTTTTGGGGTGAGTTTGGGGATTTTTGGGGTGGATTTGGGGATTTTTGGGGTGAATTTGGGAATTTTTTGGGGTGAATTTGCGGATTTTTTTGGGGTGAATTTGGGGATTTTTTTGGGGTGAATTTGGGGATTTTTTTGGGGTGAATTTGGGGATTTTTGGGATGAATTTGGGGATTTTTGAGGTGAATTTCGGGAATTTTTTGGGGTGAATTTGGGGTGGATTTGGGGCAGTTTTGGGGCAGTTTTGGTGCAGATTTGGGGTGGATTTGGGGTGGATTTTTGGGTATTTTTGGCATTTATTGGGGTGGATTTTGGGGGATTTTAGGGGAATTTGGGGTTTATTTTTGGGGTTTATTTTTGGCTTTTTGAGCGGAGGTTTTTTTAAGAGAATTTTTGAGCTTTTCCTCAATGATTTTTGGCATTTTTGGAGCAAAAAAACAGCAAAAAAAATAGAAATTAAATAACATTTATTGGTCCAACAGCGCGGAACAAAGGCGGAATTTTTGGGGGTGAATTTGGGATTTTTTTGGGGTGAATTTGGGGATTTTTTTGGGGTGAATTTGGGGTGGATTTGGGGCAATTTTGGGGCGGTTTTGGCGCAGCTTTGGGGTGGATTTGGGGTGGATTTGGGGTGGATTTTTGGGTATTTTTGGCATTTATTGGGGTGGATTTTAGGCGGATTTGGGGTTTATTTTGGGGGATTTTTGGCTTTTTGAGGAGAGATTTTTTTAGATATTTAGAACTTTTTAGATTTTTAGATTTTTTAGAATTTTTGGATTATTCTCGGTGTTTTTGCATCACAAACCAGCAAAAAAAAAATAGAAATTAAATAACATTTATTGGTCCAACAGCGCGGAACAAAGGCGGAATTTTTTGGGGTGAACGCGGGGATTTATGGGGTGAATTTGGGGATTTTTTTGGGGTGAATTTGGGGGTTTTTGGGGGTCAGCTGCACTTGCAGGAGCTGACCACCATCCCCGAGAGCTGCTCCACGCGCGCCTTTCGCCCCACGTAGTAAACGATGGGCAGCGGCTCCAGAGTGTGCGGCACGCAGCACGGCGCCGCCGAACCGCCCGGGTTGTGCAGGTTGTACAGCGCCAAAACCTGGGGAAATGAGGCCAAAAAACAGCTGAAATATGGCCAAAATATACACAAAATATATCCCAAAATATACAAAAAATATATACCAAAATATAGCCAAAATACAGCTAAAATACAGCCAAAATATATCCCAAAATATCCCCAAATGCCGCCCGGGTTGTGCAGGTTGTACAGCGCCAACACCTGGGGAAATGAGGTCAAAAAACAGCTGAAATAACCCCAAAATATATCCCAAAATACACCTGAACTACACACAAACTATATCCCAAAATACAGCCAAAATATACACAAAATATATCCCAAAATACGCCTGAAATACAGCTAAAATATGCACAAAATATATCCCAAAATATATCCCAAAATACAGCCAAAATACAGCCAAACTGTATCCCAAAATAGAGCCAAACTATATCCAAAAATACAGCCAAAATACATCCCAAAATACAGCCAAAATATATCCCAAAACACAACCAAAAAACAGCCAAAATAACTCCAAAATACAGCCAAAATAACTCCAAAATACAGCCAAAATATATCCCAAAATACAGCCAAAATACAGCCAAAATACTCCCAAACTATATCCCAAAATACAGCCAAAATACACCTAAAATACAGCCAAACTATATCCCAAAATATAGCCAAAATATATCCCAAAATACACCCAAACTACAGCCAAAATATATCCCAAAATACACCTGAAATAAACACAAAATACACACAAATACACACAAAACATATCCCAAAATACAGCCAAAATAACCCCAAAATACAGCCAAAATATATCCCAAAATATATCCCAAAATACACACAAAACACTGCCAAAATATACACAAAATATATCCCAAAATATAGCCAAAATACAGCTAAAATACAGCCAAAATATATCCCAAAATACACCTGAAATACACACAAAATATATCCCAAAATATATCCCAAAATACAGCCAAAATACAGCCAAAATATATCCCAAAATACACCTAAAATACACACAAAATATATCCCAAAATATATCCCAAAATACAGCTAAAATACAGCCAAAATATATCCCAAAATACACCTGAAATATACACAAAATATATCCCAAAATACAGCTAAAATACAGTCAAAATATATCCCAAACTACAGCCAAACTATATCCCAAAACACAGCCAAAAAACAGCCAAAATAACCCCAAAATACAGCCAAAATACAGCCTGACTATATCCCAAAATACACCTGAAATACACACAAAATACACCCAAAATACACCTGAAATACACCCAAAATATATCCCAAAATACGCCTGAAATACACCCAAAATATATCCCAAAATATCCCCAAATGCCGCCCGGGTTGTGCAGGTTGTACAGCGCCAAAACCTGGAAAAATGCGGCCAAAAAACAGCTGAAATACAGCCAAAACATGGCCAAAATACAGCCAAAATATATCCTAAAATATAGCCAAAATACAGCTAAAATACAGCCAAAATATGGCCAAACTATATCCCAAAATACAGCCAAAATAACCCCAAAATACAGCCAAAATATATCCCAAAATACACCTGAAATACACCCAAAATATATCCCAAAATACACCCAAAATATATCCCAAAATACACCTGAAATACACCCAAAATATATCCCAAAATATCCCCATATGCCGCCCGGGTTGTGCAGGTTGTACAGCACCAAAACCTGGAAAAATGTGGCCAAAAAACAGCTAAAATAACCCCAAAATATATCCCAAAATACGCCTGAAATACACACAAAATATACACAAAATATATCCCAAAATACAGCCAAAATACAGCCAAAATATATCCCAAAATACACCTTAAATACAGCCAAAACATATCCCAAAATACAGCCAAAATACAGCCAAAATGTATCCCAAAATATAACCCAAAATACAGCCAAAATAACCCCAAAATACAACCAAAATATATCCCAAAATCTAGCCAAAATACAGCCAAACTATATCCCAAAATACAGCCAAACTATATCCCAAAATACAGCCAAAATATATCCCAAAACACAACCAAAAAACAGCCAAAATAACCCCAAACTACAGCCAAAATAACCCCAAACTACAGCCAAAATATATCCCAAAATACAGCCAAAATACACCCAGACTATATCCCAAAATACACCTGAAATACAGCCAAAATATATCCCAAAATACAGCCAAAAACCAGCCAAAAAACAGCCAAAATAACCCCAAAATACAGCCAAAATATATCCCAAACTACAGCCAAAATAACCCCAAAATACAGCCAGACTATATCCCAAAATACACCTGAAATACACCCAAAATATATCCCAAAATATATCCCAAAATACAGCCAAAATATACACAAAATATATCCCAAAATATCCCCAAATGCCGCCCGGGTTGTGCAGGTTGTACAGAGCCTAAACCTGGGGAAACACAGCCAAAAAACAGCTAAAATATAACCAAAATAACCCCAAAATATATCCCAAAATACGCCTGAAATACAGCTAAAATATGCACAAAATATATCCCAAAATACAGCTAAAATATATCCCAAAATACAGCCAAAATACACACAAAATATATCCCAAAATACACCTAAAATACAGCCAAAATACAGCCAAAATAACCCCAAAATACATCCAAAACACGGCCAAAATGCAGCCAAAATATATCCCAAAAATACAGCCAAAACACTGCCAAAATACATCCAAAATAGCCCCAAACTATATCTCAAAATACAGCCAAAATACAGCCAAACTATATCCCAAAATACAGCCAAAATATATCCCAAAGCACAGCCAAAAAACAGCCAAAATAACCCCAAAATACAGCCAAAATTTATCCCAAAACACAGCCAAAATATGTCCCAAAACACAACCAAAAACCAGCCAAAATAACCCCAAAATACAGCCAGACTATATCACAAAATACACCTGAAATACACACAAAATATATCCCAAAATACACCCAAAATATATCCCAAAATACACCCAAAATATATCCCAAAATACACCTGAAATACACCCAAAATATATCCCAAAATATACACAAAATATATCCCAAAATATCCCCAAATGCCGCCCGGGTTGTGCAGGTTGTACAGAGCCTAAACCTGGGGAAACACAGCCAAAAAACAGCTAAAATATAACCAAAATAACCCCAAAATATATCCCAAAATACGCCTGAAATACAGCTAAAATATGCACAAAATATATCCCAAAATACAGCTAAAATATATCCCAAAATACAGCCAAAATACACACAAAATATATCCCAAAATACACCTAAAATACAGCCAAAATACAGCCAAAATAACCCCAAAATACATCCAAAACACGGCCAAAATGCAGCCAAAATATATCCCAAAAATACAGCCAAAACACTGCCAAAATACATCCAAAATAGCCCCAAACTATATCTCAAAATACAGCCAAAATACAGCCAAACTATATCCCAAAATACAGCCAAAATATATCCCAAAGCACAGCCAAAAAACAGCCAAAATAACCCCAAAATACAGCCAAAATTTATCCCAAAACACAGCCAAAATATGTCCCAAAACACAACCAAAAACCAGCCAAAATAACCCCAAAATACAGCCAGACTATATCACAAAATACACCTGAAATACACACAAAATATATCCCAAAATACACCCAAAATATATCCCAAAATACACCCAAAATATATCCCAAAACACAACCAAAAAACAGCCAAAATAACCCCAAAATACAGCCAAAATAACCCCAAAATGTAGCCAAAACATGGCCAAAATACAGCCAAAATATATCCCAAAATACACCTGAAATACACACAAAATATATCCCAAAATATCCCAAAATAACCCCAAAATACACACAAAATATATCCCAAAATACAGCCAAAATACACCTAAAATACAGCCAAAATATCCCCAAATGCCCCCGGGTTGTGCAGGTTGTACAGCGCCAGAACCTGGAAAAATGCGGCCAAAAAACAGCTGAAATACAGCCAAAATATACACAAAATACACAAAAAATATACACAATATATATCCCAAAATACAGCCAAAATATACACAAAATATATCCCAAAATACCCCCAAAATACACACAAAATGCAACCAAAATACAGCCAAAATAACCCCAAAATACAGCCAAAATACATCCCAAAATAACCCCAACATACAACCGAAATACACCTGAAATACACCCAAAATACACCCCAACTGCATCCAAACTACACCCAAAATAACCCCAAAATACAGCCAAAATATATCCCAAAATACCCACAAAATACAGACAAACTATATCCCAAAATACAGCCAAAATACAGCAAAACACGGCCAAAATACAGCCAAAATATATCCCAAAATATAACCCAAAATGCAGCCAAAATAACCCCAAAATACAGCCAAAATATATCCCAAACTACAGCCAAACTATATCCCAAACTACAGCCAAAATATATCCCAAAACAAAACCAAAACCAGCCAAAATAACCCCAAACTACAGCCAGACTATATCCCAAAATACACCTGAAATACACACAAAATACACCCAAAATATATCCCAAAATACACCTGAAATACACCCAAAATATATCCCAAAATATATCCCAAAATATACACAAAATACACACAAAATACACCCAAAATATATCCCAAAATATCCCCAAATGCCGCCCGGGTTGTGCAGGTTGTACAGCGCCAAAACCTGGAAAAATGCGGCCAAAATGCAGCTAAAATAACCCCAAAATATATCCCAAAATACGCCTGAAATACAGCCAAAATATACACAAAATATACACAAAATATATCCCAAAATATACACAAAATATATCCCAAAATATAGCTAAAATAGAGCCAAAATATATCCCAAAATACACCTGAAATATACACAAAATATATCCCAAAATACAGCTAAAATACACACAAAATATATCCCAAAATAGAGCCAAAATATATGCGAAAATACACCCGAAATAAACCCAAAATATATCCCAAAATACAGCCAAAATGCAGCCAAAATATATCCCAAAATACACCCAAA